TAATTATATGAATAAAAAATGTGAAAATAATATAATTTAAAATTTTAAAAAAATCATAAATAGATTTAATAAAATAAAAAATTATATTTTATATTTTCGTACCGATAAAAATTGTGACATATCATTTTCTTGTAAAATATAATACGAATATATGAATTATTCATATTTTATATTATACAAATACATGAATTACTAGGTCAAACAATGAAAAGCATTTGTTTACTCTAATATACAAATTTTCAGTATTTGATTGTAAAACATCTGAAAAGCATTTGTTGTTTTCTCCTTTACACTAAAATCCTGTATAGCATTTTGTTCATTCTATTTTCATGGTGGCTTACAGTGATTGCCTAAGCCATTCAACCGTTGCTATTTTGTTAGAGCATGATCCAGTTTCCATCTTGTCCAACGTTGATCAAAGAATCCCGAGTATAATGATATCATTCCACTTGTGCTTTGATCTATCTTTTCCAAGAAATTTAGAAGCAGAGTTTTTTTTTTCTTAAATACATATATTTTGCAAGTTACACAGTCATTGCCGAAAAATATAGCAACTAATGGAATGGTACTAACAAAAGGAAAGTGTAAGAACTCGAGGCAAGATCATGTCTATAATCTCTACGAAATTTTAGGCTCGAACTGAGCTCAGAAGCAATAATGACAGCAGTTTGTGAGATACAGTTCTCGGTCCATCAACATAAATTGCAGAAGTTAATCTACAATTACGTACAGCACAATTATATATACTGGAAGGCCGATACAAGGAGCTAACGGATGCTAGCTATCAACCACAAAGCTGAGTCCTTTTTCTTCCTTCTCTCTTTTCGTTGACGAATGTATAGTATAAATTTGCTATAACCATGGTAAACTCGATCTTTGGCATGCTTATTTTTGGTCACCTTGTACAAAATCATGGTACCATTTAGCAGATTTCTTGGGGATGCGCTTGAGGTTCTGGAAATCAACATAGTAAAGTCCATAGCGGATGGTGAAGCCTTCTGACCATTCAAAGTCGTCAAATAAACTATAATAGAAATATCCTTTGACATTCATGCCATTGCTGCGTAATAGGCAACATAAAGCACATTGATCAGTTTTCCAAGCTAGTGTGAAGGATACAAAAGAATGAATACTTGTATAAACACAGTAAAAAAGCTCACTTGATTGCCCTGCGTGTTTGGAACAAATGTTTCTGAACAAATTCAATTCTATCTTGATCGTTTAATGCCTGAGGAATTGGAATGCTGTCGTCATTTTTCTCCGTAAAACCTATTCAAAGTGGTTATGCAGATGTATTAGCGATAACTAAATATAGTGTCTAAGAATTCAACAGAAAGGGAGCATGGAGGAGCCAGATTTCCGAACCATTCTCAGTAATGTAGATTGTAAGGTTTTTATTGTAGTGCTCCGTAATAAACTTCAAAAGTTTGTACAGCCCTTGGGGATAAACGTAAATGAAAGCACTCCCTCCAGCATTTGGACCAATAAGAACTCCATCTTTGTCCACTGCCACAACAACACAGCATCATCCTTCAGAGGAATAAAAGCCCTTGTTTATTTCAGTAAAGATAAATTTAACGTTACCTGTGGAATTGACATGTTGATCTACCAAGTAGCTCACTGGTGCAGCTTGTGGATTAATTGGAATGTGCTTAGCATATCTCGAGGTATAGTAGTTGATGCCAATGAAATCAAAAGATCCTTTGACCAGCTCTTTCTCCTTAGCCGTGAAAAGTGGTAGCCTGTCCTTCACCAATCTTCTCATGCTTACTGGGTACTGTCCTAGCAGCAGTGGTTCCATAAACCTGGAAGCCACCAGACAAGATAACAATGCATTCGATCACTGGTTTATGTGAGTGTCACTGTCAAGTGGAAAGTGATAAATTACTTGAGAAATTGTTCATAAGAAAGTTATTTTACTAACCATCCCCAACTCGAAATCCATGGATCTTTTTGCTGCATTTCTATCAAGCAATGTGTTTGAATAGGGCTCACTATACTGTCCAACAAGGGTCAATCCAATTTGCCCCCCCTTGTGCTGCCTGGCCAACCAAATTCAAACAATAAGTAAACATATATATAAAAGCAGATATATGGTCCTAAAATACACCGAAGGAGGGCATTCTATGGCTCAGTCACCTGGTACTTCTCTTTGTAAAGCTTCGCAGCCGCTGCATGGGCAAGAAGAAGGTTATGTGCAGCAATGTAAGGTTCTGTGGCCGCATTACCTTCAGGACATGTTGTTCTATCTGAACATCTGCCTGGTGGAGCCACTCCCATGGTATACCCGAATTTAGCAATAATTAGCGGTTCATTGATTGTAATCCAATTTTTCACCCGATCTCCAAATGTTTTAAAACAAATTTCAGCATAGTCCCTGAAATCCTTCCTGAAAAGAGAAAGCACACATTAATGACAGATCAGCGACCATGAACTACACTAATTACAAGTTGGATAGAGCCATGGACTTAAGGCTCAATTTAGGAGGGTCCAATCATAAAATGCATTCTCTTGTTCGGTGAGAATGCTGCCAGCACGCACCCTAATGGAGCCTTGGACAGTACTAGATGTTAGAGTGGAACTTACGCGACAGTGTGATTTAAGAAGCCTCCATACTTGTTTTCAAGGGCTTCCGGTGAGTCAAAGTGCATTAGTGTCACAAAGGGCTTGATGCCTTCAATTGATGAAACATAAAAAGGAATTAGCCAAAATACCATACAAAAGAATTTCTAAACTTAATTGTAGTAAGCCAAAATACCATGTTTAATCAGCTCGTCAATGAGACTGTTGTAGTGATTGATACCCTCCTGATTTATTCCACCCCTCAAAGTTCCATCTGCAAGAGAAAAATTGTGAAGTAGTTAACTATGCTTCTCCTTTTTTGTTCACTTTTGAACCAAAAAAACAAAGAGTCAGATGAAGAAAATATTACCAGGCAAAATCCTGGTCCAGGGGATGGAAAATCTATAAGCGTCTAGTCCAAGGTCCTTCAAAGCCAATGCATCCTCCTGCGAATATATTTACCATTTCTTTAAATGCGAGTATGTTGATAGAGTACCGGATTCTTAATTCTAGTGATCAGAACCAAATCCTGATAGCCTGAAATACCAAATGAAAACTTGAAAGCCTAAGATGAGAGATGTGTAACCTTGTAGCGCTTATATGAATCGATTGCTACCTCCAAGGTACTTTTGTCTATAATTCTCTCTGCATGAAAACCATAAACATCTCAAATGAGAATCCAAATTTTTAGCTGCTATCAAGATTCCAGTAATCTGCCAGTATAATAAACAACAAAGAATCATGTTGCCAACCTGGGAATTTTCGAACATATTGGTCCCAAACGCTCGGCCCTTTCCCTCCAGATTTCGTTGATCCTTCAATCTGCACTCAGTTTAATCGCTTGTGTTATCGATATAAGAGGGAAATACTATTACTTGAATCAGTTTAATTGCTTCATATATCATTTGATATTCTGTGACATCGGATTTAGCTCACCTGAGCAGCAGCAGTTGATGCTCCAAAAACAAAATCACTTGGAAAGTTGGATCTCGACATTCAAATATTCTATAGAGTTTGATAAAGCTGAATCTACCGTTTTCTGGGATGCTTGAGTTACTGCATATAGATCAAAATTTTAGTGTGTTAGAGACAAAACAAGTAAAAACAAAAACCAAAAGAAAAGCAAGAAAAGCTGGACAACTTTTGCCATTCACAGACAAGCAGGCAAGCAAAACAAAGGCAGAGATCCTGATCAGAATCTGCTGAGAATTCCCAGGTGATGAAATTGGCAACATTCTTGACCTTGTAGCCTCTGCTGTTTCTTTAACAAGTATAGAAAAAGATTCAGCTACTTCGTGAAGACAAGATTTGAAGGTGTCTGAGCCTTGGTTTTTACGAAGTGAAAATTAAATGTGTAAAAATACAAGGATTGCACCTCTTTCTTATATTAAAGAGAAACCATCAAAACCATCTAACAATAAATCTAATTTAATGTTCATTATTGGCTAAGAACATCAATGTAACAACCTTGAATGAAACAATATTCCAATCATATGTTCATTTTGATTGGTGAGAAAAGATTATTATCTTACCATCGCATTTTTTTTGACATTAGACTTCTAATCTTTTTCATGATTATCCAAATAAAGTTCCAGCATCAATATCTTACCAATTTTATCCCAAAATAGGTAATTTTGTTGTTACCTATTATATTAAGTATTTTTCAGTTTCTAGCAGTGATCTACATTAAGGGACAGTTATGAGTTTGCTTCTTGTTAAAATGTTGAAACAAATCCGTTAGAACTGAAAAGTTTTGATAATCTTACCTAAAAAAAAAAATTTTATGTTTTTTAGTTGATTAATTATTCGATTTTATTTCAGAAAAATGATGAATTATTTGTTTTTTTTTTTTAAGATGATCAAATTTAAGAGATAATGGATTCATAAAATTCAAAGACAAAAAATACTTATTTTTATAACCTAATTGTGTACATAAATTAATGAGTATATTTATTATTCTGAATTCAACTTTATATATAATTATTTTTATATTTATTTTTCATTATTTTCATTTTATTTAATTTGTTGTTATCTAGCAAAACCATATGGATTTATTTATTTTTATCAAAATATATCATATTTTAAAATCATGACAATTTTAACAAACATAATCTTATGTAATTAATAATGTCATACTCTAATTCTCTCATATAAAAAACTTCAAATAAACATTTATCCAAATGATTGAAAACAAAAAATATGTTATTTATAATTAATATATGTAATTAATTAATTATAATTTTAAATTATATAAAAATTTATCAAAATATTAAATAAAATTTATATTTGTAAGTTATGTATCTTATATAATTTATATTATTGTGATGAATATTTTACAAAATTATAATAAAAAAATTGTGAGACGGTGGCTAAATATGATGTAAGGATCATTCTAAGCCACGTGTCAAAAACCAGTAAACTCTCTACTGAACCCTATCCCACAGGATGACAGCTCCCCGTACAGAGAGAGAAGGATCCCAAATCAAATTCCTGGCTTTCTCTCTCCACGAAACATTTCATCGTCCACTCTTTCTTGCGCCAGCCCCCTCACCGGAATCGCCCATCGTAGTTGACTTAGCCGGCGACTTCTTTTACGAAGGTACTCAGTTTAATAATCCTACTCGCTCATACCTACACACACTTCATCATTATCATCATCTTCACGTCGCCGTCTGATCTGTGATCTACTGATATTCTTAGCTAATCGTGGCCTGATCTTCGATTCAGTTCTTTTAACATGCACTTTTTTTTACCTTAACGTTCGAATCTTTGGCACTTCCTGACAAGTTGAAATGACTGGCTATCTTTTTTTTTTTTTTTGTCTTTGGCAAAAATATGAAGTTTTTTTTTTTTTTTTGTCGAGGGTGTCTTGTCTTTCAGTTCCATGTTCTTATACAATTACGACTCTTCTGATTTCTAAACTGCATTTGCCTAATGTTGTGTTGAGTTTGGTAGCTTGATTTAAGCATAGTCTCACGGGTCAAAGAGACTCTGATATTATGTGAAGAACCATTCAAGCTGAAAGCTTTGCTATTAATTTATGCGTTTATGAACTGGTTTTATTCAAGTATGATGGTTACAACAACTGAATAGGTTAATGGCTTAGACCTTAAGGCCAAGCTTTTTGCTTGCATAGCATCGTTTAACGAAGCAGAGTCTTTAATGACTTCTAGAGTTTGACTCTTGAAAAGGATAAAAATTGTCCAGGAGGTGGCATGGGGTGGACAGACGCCAATGGTGAGGCTGAGATGGAAGCCAGGCATAATTTTTGTTGTTTGCTGAGGATTGTTTGAATATTTAGACTGGTTTCTATAATGATATGTGTGGGAATACTTTCAAATGGTCCATATAACCTTTAGTATCTGCAACTGAATTTAATTATTGTTGAGTTTGATAATTTGTAATAATTCATTTCCCTTCCCACTTATAAGTCTTCAACTGTTGCAGAGCTACTTTGAGCAGCATTTGTCACAGATGGCTTCTTCCTTCCGAGCATTCCTGAACAGTCCAGTTGGTCCAAAAACAACTCACTTTTGGGGCCCTGTTGCCAATTGGGGATTTGTTCTTGCTGTATGCTTAACTACAATGAATTTAAGATTATACTAATATAGGCTTTTGATACGTTCAGTTGTTCTCCCTTGAACAAAATTATGATGTATCTGAGAAAGATTCAGCTTTGTGCTTCATGACTCATGTTTGAATATTATTGATGAATTTGTCAGGGATTGGTGGACATGAAGAAGCCCCCAGAAATGATTTCTGGCAACATGACAACAGGTTAAAAATAAAATATAGTTTGAAGAAGATATGGATTTTTCTTGGTATTTGTTATCTGACCAAGTTTCTGATTGTTTTCTTCTATTCTGGTCTTGCAGCAATGTGTGTCTATTCCGCATTGTTCATGAGGTTTGCATGGATGGTACAGCCACGAAACTATCTACTGCTGGCATGCCATGTTTCAAATGAGACAGTACAACTCTACCACCTTTCCCGTTGGGCTAGAGCTCAGGGGTAATTACGGAGTTTTAGTTCACATTCAGCTAATTTCTTTTCTATGCAATTGCCATTCGGTTTCCAGTCTTGTTTTACCCAACCGTGTTGTCCTTTCTCTGTTTTATGCTGATTCTGCTTACCATCTTTACAAATGCTTGTGGGAGATTTGATTCTGGTATAAAGAATCCTGTCACATATATAATTTCAGAAAATATTGAAGGTCATGACCAAATCATATGCACTGTACTTTCAGACAATTTAATGACCAGGATAGATTCAGCTTGTTACCGTCAAAGTTAAATTTCCGATATGAAAACAATGTTTACATTCACTTACATTCTCTGTAGTTTATGAACAAGAAATGATCAAATACTTGGGAAACTAATGCATCTGCTTTAACCGTGTAATTGTACTATTATACTTATTGTTTATTTGAATTTAGAGAAGCATGGTAAGTTCATATTTATTCATTTATGTTTTCCATAATTTCCACCATATCAGAGAATAATTTTTGAATATCTGAACCAACTTTCTGTAACATAGTTATTTGTAGTTATGGTTTGTTATAGTAGCTATTATTTCAAGTTGTATCGATTCGAGTAGTGAAAGACAAGTTTCAGTAGATCTAACGTAGTTTATAATGTTGTCTAGGTATTTGTCAGAAAAGAAAGAGGAAGCCTTATCTCAGTAAAGCAGCTTTCTTTCCTGCTATTCTTTCCATATCATGTTTCTGCAATTTTTGTTGTGATCCTTGAAGAATTTGTTCTGAACTTACCGTATAAAGAATTGCTTGAATCAACTCGCATTCATTGACTGCTAAGCCAATTTTTGTCAAGTGAATCTCGATTTGCCCTCTGTCATTACCTGTGGAAGGAACAATAGCTTGTAATTCTATAAGCACTGTCAGATGATTTGGGTGTCATGTTTTTTTAATAAACTTTCGACTTTCAATCAATTTGGCCAACCATTAATATGCCAGGATGTATAAACAATGTCTTGTACTGCAATTGAGCTGAAGATAGGTAGCTTTAATGATCGTGTAATATCTATGCAATGCATGAAATCCAACTCAAAAGCATTCTGATAAAGCAAGGGAGTCCATTAATAAGGTTGTATCACTTCCTAGGTTGCATTTTTCTTGGATTAGCCCATATTCAGCCTTGCAGCAATACATTCCTACACGTTTTCCGTTGAACCTGCCATACGGCAACGCATTCCTATGCATAAATTTCAACAATCTTCCGCGTGCTTCATTACCATGCCTTCCTGGTCACAATCTACATTGTGGTCTGACACCAGTGCTTTCCAGTGTTTAAGCAATAACTTATCTATGCATCATCAGCAAGGTCATGTTTTAGACCTTTGCTTCTTTTCTTGGATTTCAGCTTCTTGCTTCCCTCCTTTTCTTTAGATGCCTTCTTTTTGCTCCCTGTATTTTCTTTCGATGACTTCTTTCTTTTTGTAGGCAGTTTTCCTGTTTCATTTGCAGTTTGGGTTTCAGCTATGCTCTGTGATTCATGCAGTGCCGGATCGGTTGCATACTGTTTTAACTTCTGCATATAATAAGAGAATGACATTGAAATTAGCAGCTATTCTCAGTAAGGCAATATGGTTACCTAATATCATAAAATTTTTATTTGCATGGCTCCAACGTCCCCACATTCACCTAATCCTTCTATTAATCGCCAAAATAAAAAGTACTAGTTTTCTCAAACTCTTCACTGAGCAACACTGTTTTCATCTGGTAGCATAGAGGACAAACAGAAACCTTTAGGAAATTATCCACTGCAACCCTTTTTCTGTATTTGAGCCTAGATGCATTAGGATTTTCCACCTCCAAGTAATGGTATGAATCACATGATTGTGACAGTTGGCATCTTATGGTGATGATCCGACAACCTAAAACGCTCTTTTCATAACTGAAAGGGCAATCCCTACCACTTCACTTGTTTACTAAATGCAGTAAAACCCATAACGAAAACAAGAACATGCCGTATTGACAAGCAGTGACACAGAACATGGATACCAAGCTTTTGTCAACATTAATGATTCCAAGGAGATAAGCTACCTTCTTCAGTAAAATTAGTATCAAAAACAACTTTTGTAAGATGCTGCTTCAGGAAAACCTGCACCCAAAAAATGTAGGCAGTTAAAGAATTGGTATGCAGTGTTTTTATGCAACTTTAGGAACCACATGCAAGAACTTTTTAATTCTCTATTGCTGAATAGAACTTACCGATGAAAGAAGTTGTCTTGTTCCTATATCCCAAATGCGCAAATAGCTGTCCAAACCTAGAAAATACAAGTTTGTCAGTTTGTTGTACGTATAAAAAAATTTAGCGCCAAAAATATAATGGGCAATCATAAGCTTAAGCAACTCTGTTCCTCCAATCAAAAGTAAGCACGACGACCCCCACCCCACCAAGAAAAAAGAAGCAACCCAACTTTAACTGGTAACAGATCAAGCTGAGAAGCTAATAATTGCAAATTAAGTAATTTCAAAAAAGCAAAGATGAATATATTTAAAGTTGACGTGGGGAATAAAACCTTGATAGCATGACAAAAGTTTGGAGAAAACAAGAATAGAAGCTTTGAGAATCATCTAAGACACATTAGAAATCCTTGTTCTTCCTTTTCTAGCTATTGAAGTGACAAAATTATCTGCAAGACCTTAACTATTATTCATATGAACTGCTTGCAAAAAATAACTTCCCAACTCAAAAGTGAAGAATGTGTGCGCAAAAACAGGCTACAGAAGTAATATTAACACTCTGAGTATCCTTGACACTAGAAGAGCTTTTGTTTAACAAAACATTCAATATACTCACCACATGATGCTATCACAGGTAGTTCAGGGTGCCGGGCAATGGATCAAATGCTTCCAGAACACTTCCCCAAAAAGCATCCTAACAATTTACCTATAAGGAAATACTTCCACTATTAACAGAATTAGAGGGAAAAACAAAACTCGAATCATTCAAGGAAAAGTCAATTAAGAACAGATGCAACAATAGGACATCAGTTTCTACTTGTTTCGGATCCTCTACAGGAAACTGGAAAGTCCAATCTACCTTTCCTTTAGGTACATAACCCGTCTTGAATTTTGGCAATGAAGCATCTAATAAAATTGATTGAAACCACAAGTAGACTAGAGATAGTTAAACAGTGCAATTTCAACTAACAAATAAAGAATAAGCCACCGTTCTCACCAAGTGATTAGGGTAAGATGTACGTGAATATAATATGTTACAGATTTATAACTCAAATAACACTTTAAGCCTACTTCTAATGGAGACAATATTGAATTGAGGCAATCCTCAAACTGCTTAGATTTAGGTCAAAAGGGACAATTCAGCATAAAATATGTAACACGCAACCATCATAGAAGTGTAAATTCCGACCTAGATCTCCAAAAATTTCAATAAATTTACCAGGAAAAAAAAAACTCCAGTATAAAGAAAAAGTCAACTTAAACTCTTCCAGAAGAATGATGACCTACCAAGAATCAGAAATGCAAAATGCAGAAGTATTGCAGAACAAGCATATAGAATCAATTTAATACCTGTGTGAATATCCACAGAAGCAAGGTCACCAGATCCATTCCCTATATAGATTGTATGACCGTCTAGGTCTTCGGTAACTGCTTTTATAGGGGTTTCCCTGAAGTCAAATGATATAACTGGTCTTCGTTGAGCAGAAACATCATAGAGGCGAACCTGTCAACAGAAAGTCCATAAAAAAAAAAAAAAACTATCCAGAGTCTAGGAAACACAAATCGATACAAAGCTACTAAAAATGATGCAATGTATTGATAACAACTCAATCCCATATTCCTGGCACAGAACTAAGACTTCACCTCAACCATAGTCACAATTCCAAATAAAATTGTTCAAAAAGTTGCCCTTTTCATGTTCTTTCAAATTCAATAAGTTGTTGCCCATAAAATCATAGAAACATAAAGCTACAGCTAAAAATGTTTGAAAACCAAGCTCCCAACATTTAACTGAAATAAATCTGTGAATATCTTGAACCAACATGCATTACTATTTCAGAATCAAAAATAGTTTTAGAAACCGGCAATATGCAATCAAGTTTAAAAGTCATTAAGAAAGAAAAATTCCAAAAAATGTATATCCGTCTGCACAATCAAAGTTATATTAACATGTCAGTATAAACGTTCAAGGACAGCCAGATGGCTACAAGAGATTACCTCATGGCTATTGGTACCAGCCACAACTTTACGGTGATCATCTTTGCTGAGGAATGTTGCAGATGTAAACCAAGTAGGGGTAAAAATACCAAGGCTGTTCGGAGGAGGCCGTCCAATATAGGATATATAAAGATAAATGAAAACACAGAAGTTTCTAAAAGATAAATATTTTATTTCAATGAAATTGGAGAGGTTGAAAAGGCTCACAGGTTTTGCACTCCAAATGTTAGTACATTTGTCAAGATCCCACATATTAACTTCAACACCCTTCCTGAATTAGAAAAGAAGCAATCTTATTTAGCAAACTAACAATAACTCAGTTGAGTATGAAGATACCACATCAACAAATGCAGATAAAATCAACTCTGAAACTTATTTACAGAGTCATACAACCTAAAAACACTCACCCCCCAAATAAGGCATAGTTTTCACTTCCATCCACTTGAGAACATGCGATATTACCAGAGGCACATACATTCCACGTTTTTGAGGCACCAGAATCTTCTGGAGAATCAGATATATCAACAGTTTTTACACTTGCATTTCCTTTTGTTGTACATGTGAGTAAAGTGCATAATCTGCTAATGATCAATTTATAGAGATCAACAACGTTACGTAAGTTGAGGAATTTGTAACTACCAAGAACCATCTATGTCAGTATCTACAGAAAATTACATAAATAAGAAAAACAGAAATAATTTGTAACCACAGCTTACTCCGAATCAGAGGTCGGAGTAGGAACCTTATTCATTTTCATTTAACACTGAAAGAAATCTGAAAACTAGTAACAATACAATTATACCTGGATGTTAACTCCAGTCTCTGTCTTCTGAATAAATGCAGACCAACAATAGCATCATCTTCAGGTCTAGCACTAGAATTACCAAAATCGGAAACCGTAACCAAAAGTTCACCATTAAGGGGATTAAGTACTTCGATCTGAAGTATATATTGGGCAAAGAAAAATTCAAAACAAATCTTACTAGAGCCAGGAACTACTAGGACAAGAGAAGAAAAAGGAAGGTTACTCACCACACCATTTTTTCTTGCAACAGCTAATAACTGCAAATAAAATAAAAGACAAAATTTGAATAAAAAACCAACATTTCTTGACACCCATTTTGCTTATTTTTGTTATAATAATAATTAAAAAAAAAAAAAAAAAACCTCACTGGATCGGTTTTGCGGTCATCAATGGAAGCGGCAAGAACACATTTGGATGCGTCAGGTTCACCCCATCTATCTACCACTTTGGGAACTCCTCCTCGAGCTTCGATTACTATTCATCAATGATAATGAAAAGAAAAAATTAGTAACGATTTCAACTGTTCGAATGAATTATTAGGATCATAGAAATCAAAACCTTTGATGAGACCAAGGGCATCGAAAGTCAGGGCTCGAAACGGAGGGTAAACTGGGCACTCGACGGTGGTCGTGCGAGGCATCCTCTACTCTTTGTTGTTAAACCTTAAACGGATGATTGTTAGTCCTTGCGTGGGACACGGTGGCGGAGAAAAACCCATAAACCCTGTGCTCGGCTTGGTTTATAACGGTATTTCTTATTTTCTATTTAGCACCCCTTATCTTTAATATTTTCACTTGTACCAAGGATTTTTACTAATAAAAATTTTCAACCCAAAATTTACTCTGGATGTTAAATTATTTTAAAGGATAATATCTCATTTAATCTCTGAATTATAGTAATTTTTTTAATATGATATCTAAATTAAAAAAAATTTTAATCAGGTATTTATTTATTTTTTTGTATTAAGTTGTCTCAACCTTTTAATATAATTAAAATAATACTAATGTAATATTTAAATTCATCTTGAATGACATGTAATTATCATATAATAATAATGTGATTATTACGTGTTATTTTAAAAAATAAAAAAATTTTATAAAATTTATATTATAAAAACTTTTTTATTTTTTAAAAAATTATACGTAATAATCAAATATCATATCTTATGATAGTCACGTATTATTCACATTAATATTTAAATATCACATTAATATTATTCAACAGAGGTTGAGATAATTTAATACACAATTTTTTTATTTAAGTACCACATTAAAAAATATAATAATCTAAAGATTAAATGAGATATTATCTTTTATTTTAATGAAATTTTCATACACTCTCTATTTGATTGGTTAAATGTTTAATTTAAAATTAAATATTTATGTGATTACCCGATTCAAGATTAAATATTTTAAGTTATACAAATAAAAATTAAATATTATTAACATGTAACAATTAAAGATTTTTTCAATGAAATTGTGCTGTGAATATTACGTGCCATTAAATTTAAAAACTATTATAGATAATTGTGACGTGGAATTAAATTTTTTTATGAAGAATGACAAATGAAAAGGCTCTTGACTTTTTTTTTCTAAGTCAATTTCATTTCAATTATATTATTCTTTATCTTTTTGTTAGAGTTTCACAGAATTTAGGGTTTATAAACTGCAAGTCTACAACCACACTCCGTGATCTTCAATTTGTACAGCATCAAATTTTCAATTGCTCACTACTAGTCTAAATTAAAAAAAAAAAAAAAAAAAACCCACAAACCCACAAAAATTATAATACCCACAATATCAAAAAACCCAAAACTAAATCACATAATTTTTTCATTATCATCCGACCATTTTAAATTAAAACTTATAATAAAAATTTCAACTCATCAAATTTCCAATTTCCTTATACTTAGGTAAAGAGTGAAATAAATAAATAGATTAAATAGTAAAACTTAGATTGTAAATAGAATTGTTAAAAGGAAAGGAGAAAGAGTGATAAAAAAATGGATCAATTAACACTATAGTATCACTTGAGGTCAAGAGTCACAGTTATAGAGAAAATATATACTAAAATGGAGGAGCTAAATCGAGAAAAAAAATTTGGAAGAAAAAGAAAGTTGAGCCCACCTTTACAGATCTTGTTACTAACAAATGGTGAAAAGAGGAGGCCTTCGCAATTGAAAGAAAACTAGCATTGGGGTGGAGAAAATTTGAGACTTTGATGAAAATAAAGAATCTGGAAAGAACAAAAGAAAAAAGTTGATAGTGTTTCTTATTTTTTTGAAATTTGCTTTTTTATTATTATTTTGATTTTTTTTTTGTTTAGTGAATTTGTCATATACAAAATATCTGTCAATTTGATAGATAAATATGATTTACGATGCCACTCAATTAAATCATGTGTGTAATATACGAATAAATTTTTATCAAAATATATTTTTCGTTATAAACTTTCAAAAACGTTTGATTTTGAATCAACATAATTTAAATGTTTAATCTTTAAATGAGTAATTCATCAAATATTTGATCATAAATTGAGCATTTATCATATCTGATTCATTGATTAATGCATAATATATTTTTTAAAAAATGAAATTTCAATCTCTCTTATTCACGAAAAGTTAGGTAGTGTTTGGTTTTAGAAAATGAAGTCATTTTCTACTTTCATTTTATTGGAAAATGAAAAACATGAATGAAAAGGTGTTTGGTAATTAAAAATGAAAATAGATTATAATATGAAAACAAAAAAAAAAATGTTTTCAATTATGAAAACAATAAATGTATATTACTTTTTTTCCTTAGGTTTTGGAAGTTATCATATTTAAATATTTTTTAATGTCATTACTTAATAAATATTATTATATTTATAATTACATGACATTAATAGTAATATCATTGAATATTTAATTTATTTACTTATTTTTAAATTTTTAGAAAACAAATTTTCTTTTCTTTTACTAAATACATTTAAAAAAAACAAATAATAGAAAATAAAAACTATTTTTTAGTAAATAAAAATAAAAAAAAATTTCTCAAACCAAATGGAGCCTTAAATTTTGATGTGAAAAATATATATTGAACTATTAAAAACAACGCATCGAAGTCAGATCATAATTTTTATTTATTTAAATTTTTTTCATTTAAGTTGTTGGTAGAAAATATATAATTATACATTGTTAAATTGGATGAATATTTTAAAGATATAATTTATAAATTAGTTACACATAATTGATCCATGAGAATGATTTTTATTAATATAATTAAATTGCTTAATCAACTAGGAAATATTTAACATGTCATTCTTTTTTTCGGTTGAATGAATTTAAACTAATAATGGCTAACTGAAACATGAGTAATGTTATTTAAGTATCAGAAGTAAAGTGTTTTGTTAATTTATATTTGCATATTTATTTTTTTTTTGTATATAAGAAGTCGCAATTGAAAAAAAAAATTGCATGTATTAAAATTTAAATTACGAATTTATTAAATATCATATTCTAAATGTGATTATATGAACTAATTAAATTAAATCTCAAATTTTATCTAACTTTGATTTAGATATGAGTATTTAAACTCAATATGAAATGAACAAAACTTTAAAAAAAAAAAAAATTATAATATTTGCACTATAATGTAATTTAACAATTCATTTTAGTTTGGTGAATAAAAATGAATGATATATATATATATATATTATCATAAGAATCAAATTAAACCAAGTCAACGTAATAATAGCTGCAAAAGTGAGTCCAATTCAATATAACATAACTTTTTGTTTTTCATTGTCCAATTTAATATAATTTATAAAATTTGTATTGAAAAACTTGAATAAATATAACCAAAAAAATTTAATTAAAGAAAAGGGAGATGAAGAAAGAATGGGGAATTTGGGAAACACAATCCAAATTCTTTGCCTCCAAATGAACTAGAGGGTGAAAAAAATTGTAAAAAAAAAAAAAGATAAAACATTAACAAAGCTTCTAAATTTAAATTTAATAATAAAGTAAATCATTATTATTTTTTACAATCAATTAAATTTTTAAATATTTATTTTTATCAATTGAACTCTTATTAAATAAAAAATAATTAATTTTTTATTTAATCAAGAGCTTAATAAAGTAAATATATATAAGTTCAATTGAATAAAAATAGATATTTAAGAGTTTAATTGATTTAAAATAAAAAATTCAAAACTTGATAAATTTTAATAATACATCGAAAATTTAAATAGTTATTGAATTTTTATTTAAAAATTTTTTTGACCTGACAAATAAAAAGAGTAACAAAGTGCAATATCTTACTTCTGTGATTGGTCCAAGCCAAAGATAAACAAACGAAACGACCTCCAAGGCAATTACTAATTCAATAGATGATTTAAACCTTTATATAGTTTGAAAAACTTCTAAGGCAATTAATAATTAACAAAATAATACAAAATAAAATATTAAAGATATTTCAATCTCAATTATTTTCGACTTATTTTTTTAAAATTAATTAAAAATATAAAATTATTTATAAACTAAACCTTAAACAATGATTTCCTTAAACATTAAAAAAAATAATTTAAATAAAAATTTAAACTTAAATATCACTTCAAATGACCCGTGAACATTTTTAATAAAAGGTGATTTGAGGTACTTTTTCAACCGACCACAATGTGAATGCAAACAGTCTGAGATATATTATATGTACACTCTGAGGCAGCCAAGTGGTGAGCATGCAGCCATTCCCACGCCGACGTCCAAGTAGGCGAGGACCCGTGATTAAAAGTGTCAAGTAAGTCTAATCGAATTGATAAAATAAAATTTTAAATTTGAATTGCTTGAAATTAAAATTAAAATTTTAAATTCGAATTAAATTATTCAAATGTATTTAATAAAAATAATTTAATTTTTAATTAATTTTAAATTTAATTATATATTTAAATCGAATTTAAATATATATAAATAAAATAATAAAATATATTTAAATTTAAAAATTTAATTAAATTTATAAATTATTTGAATAAAATATTAAAATACTTAACTCACTTAATAAATTGAATTACTTAAATTTAAGCTTAATTTAATATTAACATAATTAAATTTGAATAGTTCGAGAGTTTATGAGTCATTTACCATCCCACCCACGATGACATCATTTCTCGCGTAACCGGCCAAGCCAACCGTGCGTGCCAGTTGCCAATTGCCGTCTCTTTATCATTTGTAAACCATTAATCTAGAAAAAGAAAAACAAACTCAAACTGAAAAGAGAATTGGTAAAACTGAAAGCCATCAGTCATAAAAGCCGCTTTGACCATTACGTTCAACTAAATCCCCAAGTCCGACATTAAATAGCTTTGACCAAACATTACTTTTTTTTTTTTTTTCCAATTTGGTAATTTTAAGAATAAAAACTCGTGCTATTTTATGCAAGGAAACTTAATAATTTTAAGTATTATTTTTTATATAAAAATATAATTTAAGAAAAGAAAAAATTTATAAATATTAAATATTAAAAATTTTAGACTATAATGCCCATATTCTTCTTCTATATTTCCTAAGGTATTTTAACATAAATTATTATGTTTATAAATTTAAACCTGTTTATTTTATTATAAGTTTGTAATTTATGTTTAAGATTAATTAATCTAATATAATTTGTAGATGTAAAAATTACTATATTCAAATATTAAATATTTTAAAGTATTTTTATAATTTTAATATTTATAATTTTAATTATTATTTCAATATAAAATAATGTGCAAACAATTGTTTATTGAATAAAACTTTTAAAATTGTATTTAATATTAAAAATAATTGAAGTAAATTTTAATTATTACTAACTCATAAATATAAAAAATACTAAAAATTTTATTATATACAAAATTTAATTTAATATATTTAATGATTTTTTTTACTATAATTTATTATGTTATCATTATTTTTGAATTCAAAAAAATATTTTTATCATTAATTTTAATTTACTTATCTTTAATTTAAGATTCTTTTTCATAAGAAAGTCTAAAATTTACTCGGAAACCAGTTGAGAAAAAAAGAAAAAAAACATGTTCAAATGAAACTCCGTGTTGTCGATAGTGTTAATTGACAAATTGTGCACTCAATTAAACAAGCTTTCGCAGAAACCGAATCCGAGAGGAATCCAAGTCGTAACAGCCTCTTTCACACGCAGCTTCTATCTGCTTTATATATCAAAATCACTGACATCCACATATCTGAAACCAAAAAAAAAAAAAGAAAAAAAACCCCAAAAAAATCACCAGAATTTCCGACCACCTTACATTTCCAATTCCATGGCAGAAACAAATCCCAAGCGTTCGATGGATCCAAACACTGGATTCTGTTACCAAACAGGAATTTACAGTAGCTTAAACGCTCCCATCCCTCTCCCACCGACCAATCAACCTCTTTCCGTTGCCGAATATTGTATCTCCCTCTTGCATTCCACTTCCACCAGCGGCGCCACCACTTTTGTCGTCAATGCAACCACCGGCCAAACGCTAACTTATTCTCAATTCGTTTCTCAAGTCCGTTCCCTCGCTTACTGTCTCCAAAAACGCTACTCTCTCTCCCAAAACGACGTTGCTTTTATTCTCTCCCCTCCTTCTCTTCATATCCCCGTGCTTTACTTTGCGCTCATGTCGTTGGGAATTATCGTCTCTCCTGCCAACCCACTCGGTTCCAACTCGGAAATAGCTCACCAGATTCAACTCAGTAAGCCCGCTATTGCCTTCGCTACTTCACAAACCTCTCATAAAATTCCATCTCTCAAACGCGGAACTATCCTCCTGGATTCGCCCGAGTTTCTCTCTTTATTAACTCAGTCCAATATCGATAACAACACCATTAAACCAGTCAAGGTAAACCAGTCCGACCTCGCTGCGATATTATATTCTTCTGGAACCACTGGGCGTGTCAAGGGCGTGATGATGACTCACAGAAACCTAATCGCAATGATGGCGGCGATTCATCACTCCAACACAACCGAAGGCAACGTTAGCGACAAACCGCCCCAGTCAGTGACGTTTTTCACGGTGCCCTTGTTCCACGTGTTCGGTTTCTTTATGTTGTTAGGGGCCGTTTTGTCAGCGGATACAGTGGTTTTGATGGAGAGGTTTGAATTTGAGGAAATGCTGAGAGCCGTTGAGAAGTACAAGATCACTGACATGCCGGTGTCGCCGCCGCTTGTAGTGGCGTTTGTTAAATCGGATTTGACTAAAAAGTACGATTTGAGCTCGCTTCAGATGCTTGGCTGCGGTGGTGCGCCGCTTGGCCAGGAGGTAGCTCGTCAGTTCAACGAGAAGTTCCCCAATGTTTTATTGGTGCAGGTATTTTCTATTTATTTATCTACTTTTTATATTTCCATCGGTCGTTTTCTTTTCTCTTTTACTAAAAGTTTGAATGATTTTTTATTTTTAGATTATGATTTTTAAGAAAAAGTAAATTAGCTAATAATTAGTCATTAATATTTCATATAAAAATTAGTTAGGACTAAATTAATGTCAATTTATAAATTTAATATTAATTTATAATGTCTTTGATAAATTATTGAAAATTAATTTTTTAATGTATTTGATAAATCTCTTTTAAAAACCATTTATAAAATTTTTTATTGAAAAATATTGAAAACGCTAAGTAGCTGCTTGTTAATGTATTATTAAATTAATTTTATTTAACAAAACAAATACTATTATTTAATTCTATTAATTACCAATAAAAATTTTTAAAATTTACACTTAATTTATAATTTTTAATAAAAAAAATTTAATTTTCAAAATTAAATTTGTTCGATTTATCATACAACAACTTAATTTAGACTTATAAAGTTTGAGTCTTATGTCTGTCTTAAGCATCATCATATATATTAAAAATATACGGTAGGAAAAATATTAAAAAATTTTAATTGCTTAATATTATTAATTTTAAATAAGAATTTAGTCATAATAATATGTTCAAAATCTTTAAATTTCAAATTTACACTGTAAGATGCTAAATTGGTTCGTGCAAAGATATTTTGCTTCAATAATTCAAACATTCAGAAACGATGAAGTTGATTGGCTTATTATTATTATTATTATTATTATATATCTATAAAATGTTTTTTTGTCGGTTTTCAAATTTGGATTTTGCACGCAACTGTTAAAAAGTACAGATTTTATTCAAAAGTTACCCATATATATATATATATATATATATATATTAAGAGTGAGCACCAATAAATTATAACTAATTTAACCGATCAAATTATTTTAATTTAGATTATTTTATTCGATTTAAATATTAGTTGTTTAAAAAATAATTTTATTTAATTAATTAGATTGATTATTGGATTGTAAAATTGATAATGAAATATATGAATTAACTGATTTTATTAATTTATTTTTTAAAATATTTTCTTATATAATTATGTAAATATAATATAATTTATATAATATATTATATAATTTAAATATAAAATGATTTTTACATAATAAGATAAAATATATGCTTTTTAAACAGTTAAAATCTTAGAAATTAATTGAATTGACCGATTTAAATTATTTGGATTAATCATTTTAATTTGATTCAAGATTTTTAAATTTTTAACAACGAACCGATAACTATTACGTTCTAATATATCTAAAGTTTTATTTATTGAATTCAATAATTGACAAATCACGTTTGTAATTGAAAAGTTAATAACCCTTTTTCAGATTTGGTATCATGATTACATATGTACCGCGCATTTAGCTTGCAATAATTAACCGATGAAAATCCGCCAATGTCAATCACTCATCAACTTCACGAAATTGTTTGGAAATAAAATAAATAATTATTTGATATAATAATTTATATCTTATATTTATATTATATTTTGTACAAAAATTACATATAATAATTTATATTAATATAAAATATATAAAATATAATTTTTTAAAATTTTAAATTATATTGTTTTTATATTTTTATTTATATTATTTTTATATTATATTATCGTATTATATTTTAAATTATCAAATATAATAATTATATCAAAAATTAAATATGTCGTAGAATGTTAGAATGAGGATAGAGTATTTTTTGTTTTTATTTTTAAATTTTAAATTATTTTTTATTGATATTTAATTGATATAAATAATTTTTATATTATAATTTTTTTAAAAATTAAAATAAAAAATAAAATTTATTTTTTATTTTTATATTAAATATTTAAATAATTTTTATAAATATATATTAATATATGTATTTTTAATAAAAATATATTAATTTTAATTGATCTAAACTATGAATTTATACATTTTAATAAAAAATTTATTTATTAAATATATATAATATATACAAAATACAAACATAAAACAGAAGTTATATAATTTGTTTTCATTTTCATTTTCAATAAAACTTTAAAATTATATTTTTTTATACACATTTCTATCTCAATTCAAATAAAAAAAATTAAAATTTTCGTTACATATAGATAAGATTGACATAATATTAAAAGCCGAGAAATATCCCTCCTATTGTCATCCTTTCATTTTCAGTTTTTGTCATCTTCAGAAAGAAAGGAAAAAGCCTCTCTCTCTGTCTGTGCAAACTGAAACGTGAAAAAGTCAATTTGTAGAACATCATCGTCACTCAAATGGCAGAAGCAGCAGCCAATCACCACCGTTCGATAGATCCAAAGACAGGCTTCTGTCCCCAAACAAGAACTTTCCATAGTCTCAGGCCACATGTACCTCTGCCACCACCTTCTCTTTCTCTTTCCCTCCCTCAATATGCCCTCTCCCTCCTCCGTACCTCCTCCTCCTCCGCAGACAGCGACGGCGACACCGATTTCATCATCGATGCTACTATAGGTCACAGACTCTCTTACTCGCAATTTATCGCTCAAATCCGTTCCCTCGCTCACTCCGTCCGGAAAAACTATTCCCTTTCTCAAAACGACGTCGCCTTCATTCTCTCCCCTCCTTCTCTTCATGTCCCTTTGCTTTACTTCGCTCTTATGTCGTTAGGAATCGTTGTCTCTCCAGCCAACCCGCTCGGTTCCGAATCCGAGATTGCTCACCAGGTTCAACTCAGTAAACCCGTTATTGCCTTCGCCACCTCGAAGACGTCTTCCAAGATTCCGAGTCTCAAATTCGGGACAGTCCTTCTCGACTCTTCGGAGTTCCTCTCTTTCTTAACTCAATCCGATGTCGATAACGACGTCCTTAATAGAGCCCAGGTGAGTCAGCACGACGCAGCAGCGATACTTTATTCTTCGGGGACAACCGGGCGAGTCAAAGGGGTGATCCTGAGTCACCTGAACCTGATCGCGTTGATTGCCGGGTATTACCACTTACGGCAACTATACCGTGAGGAGGAAGCACCGCACCCAGTGCCGTTTTTCACGGTGCCTTTGTTTCATGTGTTTGGGTTCTTCATGTTGGCGAGGGCGTTTGCGATGGGAGAAACAGTGGTTTTCACCAAGAGATTTGAATTTGAGGGAATGTTGAGAGCCATAGAGAAGTACAAGATAACTTACATGCCGGTTTCTCCGCCGCTTGTCTTGGCGTTTATTAAATCGGATTTGACTAACAAGTATGACCTCAGCTCGCTTCTGCTGCTCGGGTCCGGTGGCGCCCCGCTTGGCAAGGAGGTCGCTGAGCGGTTCAAGGAGAAATTTCCCACCGTGGAACTTGTTCAAGTAAGGAGAAAACTGTTGACATCTATTCAGCTATTCCGGCTAAGCAATATATTAAATTACAACAATAATCATCTCAACTCATAATAGGATAATTGATAGAATAAAAATATAATTAATTTATATTTTTAAAAAAATAAAATTATCTTAAAATAAAATAATTTAATTTTTTTAAAAATTATTTTTAATTAATGAGATTAAATTTATATATTTTATTATATCATTAAAAATTATATTAATAATTTTAATTATATAAAATTTTAAAAAATAATAATTTTAATCTATAAATAAATTATTTTATTATAATTTTTATACATATCAAATATAATATAAGATAATATTATTTTATTTTATTTTATTTTATCATATTTTTGTGTAGAAATTATATTATTAGATGAATGAAATTTTTTATTTATGTCTATCCACGTGATAATTTTTTATATAAAAAAACAGGCTGAAACCGAAGTTGCAGCGGATGCAATTTGAATCGTTATCTATTAGATTATAAAATATTTAAAGAGTGCTAAAGTTGTCAAATTAGTACTATCTTCTTTGGGTAAATGTTAAACTATTGTTCTGGTTGATTTTCTTGTGTAAAGGGTTATGGGCTGACTGAGACAACAGGAGGTGCAACTAGGGTGATTGGGCCAGAGGAGGCAGCTCGGTATGGGACTGTTGGCCGCCTTTCTGAAAATATGGAAGCCAAGATTGTTGATCCCGTAACTGGAGAGGCCCTGCCACCCGGCCAGAGAGGGGAACTGTGGTTGCGAGGGCCAATAGTAATGAAGGGTATGTACTCTTTTTGCCTTTATTTTAGTGTCTAAACGAGTAAATCTGCTGCACGAATTATGCAACTTTGGGAATGGAAACCCAAAAACAGTGCAATTTGCTAGCAATAGGAAGTTAGGTTTCTCCATAAAGTGAGTAAATCTGCTGTAGAATTATGTAATTTTGGGAATGGAAACTAGGGATGCAACAGGTTGGGCTCGGGCAGGATAGATTGGGTTTTTGCTTTGAACTTGATTTGACGAATTTTTTTTGTTTTCTTAATATTTGAATCCGATCTAATCAAATATTGTATAACATTATATCCTGAAATTAATAAAATATTATTTTTAAATATAAATATAAAATTCTATAAATATATAAATATAAAATTAAATAAATAATTATATATATCGGATCGAGTTGAGGTGAGACGGGGCAAGCTTGTCTAAAACCTGATCCTGACCTGATCCGACCCGAACTATGATTAAAAAAACAAAAAAATTGACCCTAAAAGGTTGGTTCGGGTGTGGGGATGGATTGAACTGACATCCCTAATGAAAACCCAAAAAAAGGCACTTGGCTAGCAACGGAAAGTTAGGTTTCTCCATAAATTGTGGTTGTCAAACTTGGTTAATGATCTCTAAGCCATTAAATTTATTTCGAATATGTGGGAAAAATGAATTGAAATGGGAGGACATGAATTTGGAAATCCATTTATTTTTCATATTACAGTCAAAACTCCATAATCAATGAGCAAAAGGGGCATAGAATTTTCTCTGACATTTTGCATAGTTCAGGCTCTTATAAAAAGCTTATTACCTCATAACTGAGAGAGTGGTGTCAATGCAGGTTATGTAGGTGATGAGAAGGCAACTGCTGAAACCTTGGATTCAGAAGGCTGGTTAAAAACTGGTGATATTTGTTATTTTGACTCTGAGGGGTTTGTCTACATTGTAGATAGATTGAAGGAATTGATCAAATACAAGGCGTATCAGGTGAATGACTTGCCTGTGAAGTTGACAGTGTTACTTTAATATTTTCCGAACAAAATAATCTTATTGTATCCAAACCAAATGGCAGGTCCCTCCAGCTGAATTGGAACATTTACTTCATTCCCATCCTGAAATTGCCGATGCAGCTGTGATTCCGTATGTATTGAGCTTCTCTTGTTTCTTGTGAATGGTGATGTGTGCTAAATTTTGTATTAGTAGCTATGACATTTTTCCGAGTAAAAACGCAAACTTGCACTTCCATTTGAATATATCAGAACATGGTTTTCTTGCCAAATACTTTTGGAGGCCTCTAGCTGTAAGTGAGTGAAAAAGTTAAAGAGTACATATGTTCCAGAATTGCAACTCTGTTGTGATGGTGGTGGCATCTATTATTCTCATATCAGTTTGTTTTATCTGAGAGCAGGTACCCTGATGAAGAAGCAGGGCAGATTCCCATGGCCTATGTAGTGAGAAACCCTGGAAGTAGCATCACTGAGGCTCAAGTCATGGATTTTATTGCAAGACAGGCATGCTTCTAAAATTCCAACTGAAATATTAGTTTCTTTTTTGGGATATCGGGCTATGTTGCTAGATCCGATTTTCATCTTCTTGCAGGTTGCACCATACAAGAAGATCCGACGTGTTGCTTTTATCAATTCTATTCCAAAATCTCCAGCAGGAAAGATCTTGAGGAGGGAGCTTGTTAATCATTCTGTCTCTGGTGGTTTATCTAAATTATAAACCATAACTGGTGGGGATTTGGCCAAATGCTGAGAAAAAGCTGCACTAAAACATGAAAACTTTCTTAGTAATATACGAAAAGCTTTGGATACTCACTGATGGCTGGTTTTGGATTGCAGTGCTAATTGAAATCAAATTCCCTTGGAACATATCTTATTGCATTTTATATTTCTAAGTGAATTCTCTTACCTCCAGTGATTCTGATTCTGATTATGTTTTTATTTTGTTTGGTTTGAAAGAAGCAACAAAGTAGGTTTCACTATTCTAGTAGAGAAGCAAGTTGCGTTGAGTCGATAATTACTTTACAATAACTTCTAAGTCTTTAAAGAATAGACCCACCAAAAAGTTTTGCCATAAGGTAGGTCACTTTGACAGCCCCAAATCCAACTGCTGGAGGCTTTTTAAATATGAAAATGATTGCCTCCGATCAAGTCTTTCTTCTTTTAGACTGAAGGGATTACCTGACAATAAATGCCTAATTCAGAAGAAACAATAGAACAATATGGCTTAGCATAGCTCGAAAAATAATGCCAAACCTAACTGCCGTTACGAACTCCTTTCCAGGTCTTGGACTGCTCACACTTGCTTTGGACAAAATTTACACGAAATTTTATATGTGAAATTTATAAAATTTTTTATTAAAAATAAATAAATAAAAATTTTAATAAAAATTTTAACCAATAAATTAATGAATTTTAATGTAAATATAAAAATTATTAAAAATATTATTTATAATTTAAATTTATCAATATTTTTAATATTTTTATTAAAAATATATATTTAATAAACATATCAAAATTTATTATAATTTTTTAAAATAAATTTGCTAACATGATTTATATGATAAAATTTTTTAATCTATCAATTTTAATTTTTTATTTTAATTTTTATTTACTCATTTTACTTGTGAAACTCCATATAAATTTTTTTTCACTTGCTCTAACGTTGCCATTTTTCATTTTAAAAAACACAATAAAAACAAATTAGGTGCTTGCTTGCCCACTTGCTACAAACTAAAAACTAGTCTGAGATTCGAGCTTGAAGTAAATAAGAATCTAACCCACAACTTTAACCACAACTACATCAAAGGGTGTCATTCTCACAGTGTTTCACTTTATATATATATATATATATATATATATATATATATATATATATATATATTTATAGACAGTACATGTTAGACGGTATCTTAAAAACCGTTTTAAATTCATCTGCAAAACCAGTGGTAAGATACAATACAAATATCTCTTCGTCTTTTACTTCGTTAGATTGCAAACAGAGAACCAAAGTGAAGCCACTTAATTTTCAGTAGGTATAACTGAACTGCAGATGCATTTATCATTAAAAAAAAATCAAAGATTTTTTTTACTAACCTTTCCGACTTAAATGATCACACAAAAATAATTCAAGCAATTTTGAAGAATTGACAACGACCACGAGTACAAACTACTTTAAATGATAATAAAAATCTATTATTTATAGATGTAAATAAAAAAATTGATTGAAAACAAGATATAATAGAAAATTAAAAACAAAATAACAAAAAGCAGAAACAACTAAACCTTGCTTTAATATATTTAGAGTTTGTAACCGTCATATATACAAAGTCTGTATATACAATTAACTACTCATATATACATAGTCTGTATATACACATACAAAGTTTTCAAGTCACTTGCTATCCAATCACAATTTCATTAGATTACAGTATACTAAAACACTCTTTTCGATATTTTTCCTTTACATTCAAAATCAATATAAAACCCAAAACTAAAGAATAGTTGTCATAATGATAAAGAATCAAACTCTTCATCATAAAATTCAGTAAAAACAATTCAGTTATTGAATAAAATAGTTGACTATATCTAATTGGATTACTAGAATGTAATTTTAGGTTAAATTGTTAAAATCCTAAGCTTCATATATATCAAGAACAAAACTGAGAATCATAACATTCAATAAGGGAACAATAATTTTCTTTTTATAGATTCAAACCTGTAGGATTCTGACAGCTATAACCAAAACCAGAAGATACGACTATGAGCCTTTACTTATTCCATTGCCCATGCATAACACCAATAAATAATACTTGTAGTTGAATTTATATTTTATACACGGGCGATGTGAGGTATGTGTATAGACACCAACCATTAGAATCATCTCCCAAGATGACATCCGATTGTAACCAATTTTTTTGTTCAATTGTGAGGTATCTTGCAGACACTCAAGAAAGTAAAACCTGTAAGAATTCAATCATGACAAAGAAAACATAAAAGAAATAAAGAAAAAAAGGAAAAAGAAGAGAAGAGAACAAGCCTCCAACACTAGTGGTTCTGTTATCTTTTCTCCAGCAGTAACATCTGCATGTTAATCAGAACTTTCTGTGCATCATCAATGTCACCATCCCATCGCTAGAAAATATCAATTCTTAGTCATAATTTACATAAAACTGATAGTTAAGTCGTTGTCAGGGTAGAAGTCACTAAAGTACAAGATAATATGATATAACAACAATAATATAGCATCTTACTTGAACGCTAAATGACTATGCAAATGCATGCAGTCGGAAAACCTCCTGCACTGCTAAACACTCGAAACAGATAAGAAAACAAAGAAACAAAAATCTCACAAGTTAGAAGATCAAATTAATTCATTTCCAAAGCATCTTTGAGTGTGCAAAACTTACTGCCCACGAGCAGGAAAGACCAGTGCTGTTGGCTCCCAAATATCAGTATACCCTTGCAAGTAATGTGAAAAAATTGAAGGAAACAATGTGAGCAATAGTTTTAGGAGAAAAAAGAAAATTCAAATGTGGTTAAGAATATTTACACGAGTTACAATCTGATACAATATCAAGGAGATGAAAAATGAAAGATCTAAAATAAGTTAAGGTCAATAAGCTGCACCTTCATATTCAATCGCAGCTAAGGACCATTACAATTAATCACAAAATTATCCAAACTAATATCTGGGTCGTGTTAGGCTGTAACTGAACAGCCTTGAAAAATTAATCCCTACAAGCATTTCATCTATGCGCCTGCCAAAGGATGATATCAGTTTCTCACAATATTTTGGCACCTAAACATGCAACTGCTGCACCTCACCTCTTTTCAATCATCTTCCTAAGATACAATTATCATGAAAAAAAACATAGCAGCTGTATGTAACAATCTGCCTGTCCAATAAAACAATCAATAGATAGAAAATTTTTGTACCACCGCTGCATTGGATTCCGATCCTTCATGATTGCTTGTATATACCATAAGAGTCATTCGAACAAAATTAAGCAACTGCTGACTGTAAACTAAAAATGCAGCCTAAATGTGTTTTTTGCATCTGTCCAGCTTTCATAATCAGAACAGGCACCTGTTCCATTCACATTTTTGGGGGGAATGTAGGCAAGAATTCTTTAGATTTTGGAAGAGGAAGCTCACGGAACCAGTCATGATTAAGAGCATCATCTGCTGTTATTCTCTGCATAGATAACATAAACTTTGATTAGCAGAAACCAATACATATAAACTAAAAGTTAACAAATTGAGGTTCTTAGCTTATGTATATTTACCTTCTCAGGATCATATGTAAGAAGCCTGTTTAACAGGTCGAATCCAGAATCAGAAAGAACTGGAGATCCTGTGAAAGATACCGCAGGAAACTTCCTACGCAACAAATTATACCTGGAAGAAGAAAACAAATGCACCTAATTATTAAACTGCAGATCACATGAAAAGGTAATCAGTAAATACTAAACATATAGAAAATCATACTAAATATAAGTAATTTAGATGAGGAAGGTAATTGTCTAGAGAGATACTTACGGTTGCTTAGAATAATTTGCCTTGGCCCCAGGTAATTCAGAAAAACCAGCCCAAATCTTCTCACTTGGAGTACCAAGAGTATCAAATATCTGCAACAATCAACCATCAGGACCAAACATAAGAAAAAAAATAAAAGTAAAAAGATAAAAGAAAGATGATAATTTTAATAGAAACAATAATAACCTTGCGAAGCTGATCAATCTCGCTTGTCCCTTTGAACAAGGCTTCCTTAGCTAACAACTCAGCCATTATACAGCCCACAGACCACATGTCAACTGCTGTTGAATACTTCTTTGCTCCAAGCAAAAGTTCAGGTGCTCTGAAGTGCAGAAATCAAACAAAGATAATGTCAAATTCAAAAGCTCATAAAAATTCAAAATATAAAATAGCATAAATACATGGAATGCAGCTCACCTATACCACTGAGTAACCACCTTAGTTGTATATGGCTTCAAAGGGCTTCCATATTGGCGAGACATACCAAAGTCACATATTTTTAGTTCACCTTGGTTGTTCAAGAGAAGATTGGATGTTTTCAAATCCCTGTGGAGCACCCAATTATCATGAAGATATTTGACACCCTCCAATAACTGTAGCATCAAGCATTTAACATCACTTAGGCTAAATGGTCGTTTCATAGATTCCATTAGCCCCTTGAAGTCATGTTCCATGTACTCCATAACCATGTAAACATTGTCATGGTCATCTACAACAACTTCTTTAACTTTGACAATTGAAGCATGACGAAAAGATGCAAGAATGTTAATTTCCCTTAGTGAGGTCAAAGGGAAACCATATTCTTCTGAATCTCTCTGGTCAAGAATCTTTACCTTCTTCAGAGCCACAATTTCACCCGTCTTCTTATCCTTAGCTCTATAAACAATACCATAAGTACCTTCACTTATTTTGTTCAATTTTTCATATTCAAAAACATTTCTACAACCCAGAAGCATGTTCATACCTCTTCCTGCTGGTTCTTCAACATCTAAATCCGACTGGTCAACAACTGCATCTTCATCATACATGTCATCAATGTCCATCACACCATTAGAGTCCAATTGACATTCCATATCTTCATCCTCGCAAGCAGACAATACACTGCTGCTTCTTTCATTAGATAGTACCCCATCTCCTTCAGAATCCTCTCTTTCAAACTCTCCACTCTCAAGACTCGAACTCGTCCTAATCTTTTCCTCACTTTGAGACACATCTTCATCATCGCTATCAGATGCCCAACGTGAAGTGAATATGTTAAGTGCTTGAACATTTTCTTTTCCCATCAAATCTTTTTCTCGATCATCATCGTGACATAAATTTCCAGGCAGTGAAGGAGATAAAACAGCATAATCAGACACTTGAGACTTTGGAAGCATATGCTCCACTTCCTCAATCAGATTTGCAGAGACTTGTTGCTTCTTGAAAACCTGATTGGAAACAGTATTTGACAACTTGCAAGGTGAAGGACAAGATGACAGCGAGCTAGCTGTTGATGCAACTCTGCTCCTACACGAAATTCTTACTTCCTTCTCTTCCATGTCCCACACAATAGGGGAAAACTTCCTCTTTTTCTGTGGGGGCTGTTGAACCCCACCATCCAATATCCTCCTTACATCATTCTTAACTCTCACAACAGCCTCTAACCCATATCGCCTAGGACCCAGGTCGTACCCATTCTTATGCTGGATAACCAAATTCTTCCCATTAGATGGGTAATTGTAACCATTCTTATCGGGAATAGCATGAGTCTGACCCCAATTCAATTTCCCAAAATCACTTCTCCTTGGAACATCTACTCGCCCTGCCGCCATACCAATCAAGAACCACACAGCTCTTCTCAATAAAAAATTCAAAACCCAAGACAGATACCAAGCAAAATTCCCAATCAAACACACAAATCACAAAAATTCAATTACTTTCCTTTTTCCTTTAGGGTTCCCTAAATGTATAAACCCTAGATTTACCGACAACGCTTACAACTTTAATCAATAAAAACGAGCAAAGCAATGATTACACCGTAGATTTGAGTTATGGCAATTAATCAGAGTGAAAAAAAAAAAAAGAAGAACAAATAAAAGAATTGACAATCAAAATCCCTAGAACTTAAAATTTTTGTGCTTCTTTGGGCGGATCTGATCTGACCAAGATAAATCAGAGGTAATCGAAGATCTTACCAGAAAGAAGGAGAGGGAGAGAAATGGAAACCACGCGCAAAGAATATCAGAGAAACTAAGAATCGAGAAGCGCTTCTACGGTTCTTTATTTAATGCGTAGAGCTCCTGCCATACGCCCGTTGGTGCAATTTATAGATAGCGCGTTGGGGGCAGTTATGGTCATTTTTTTGAGTCGGTGGCTCGGTGCCTTTTCTGTTTAGGAATTGCCTATTATGGCCCCCTGGGCTTAACATTCGACACTTAGGCTTTAAATAAAGCTTAACCCAATTTACAGTTGTTTTGCCTTAGCTGCGCATGAAACCTGCAAATTAGAAGAGGCCATAGAGCATGAGAGATCCATTCAAGGCTCCGACTATCCCTCCAGATTTAAAAATTTATCAAAATTTTGAAAAAGTTTGAAAGAAAATTAAAACACATTAAATGAATTTTTGACAAAATTTTGAGGTCCTTTTAAGTTTTGGGTTGAACTTTAGATAAAAAAAATTAAAATCCTGACCTGGCTCAACTCAAATAAAAAATATATAATTAAAATATTATAATTATATAAGTATAATAATTATATATATTTTTTAAAAAATAACTTTTTATTATATAAACTAAATTTAAATGAATAAATTTGGAATTTAATTTTTTTAATTTAAGTCGAATTGAAAAAAATTTTGAGATCTAAAATATCTGATCATATTAGACTTAAAACAAAATGCACAAGAACAAATGGTGAACACAATCCTGGAGTAGCTTATTTTCGATATTTTTCAATGAGAAGAAGTATATATCTACTTAAGCCAAAAAATTTTCATGCTTCATCTTTTCTGATTAAAAAAAATATTATTCTTGTCCAAAAAATATAGAATGCATTAATTAAAACATAACAAACTGCACATCTCGAGGAAGGCACACAACAATCTATCTGCGATCTATCTGCACATCCTGAGCGCTCTGACACTCCCTGACCGTGTTTTCCTCTTGGCTCCTGTAAAACCCTCTCACCTCTAGATCACCTTCCAGTCGAGCTCCACGTTACCCTCACTAAAAACACCATCAACGAGAACCATAATTGGTATTCAAGAAAGTGATGGAAATGTTACGTTATTGGCAGGGAAGCAAAAATATGGAATTTTGCTTTTGAGAGGGCAGAAAAGATGGCAGGTATAGAAAAAGGAAGCATCGGGGCAACTTTCTAACCGAAACACTTCCAGCTGTCTTCCAAATGGATGAAATCCTATATGAGCTTAGGGCTCACTCTGTTGGCCTAACCTGGACAATGGGATTACATTTTCAGCTATGTTAAGACATTCCAAGGTCACCCAGATATATTGTTGCCAGACAGGGTTCAAGTTGGTATGACTCAACACTTAATGAAAAGTTACTCTGATCTCCTCATCAGGACATGTCATAGGCGTGGCGTCCATGCCATAGGTGGAATGGTATGCAATTTTTGGTTTTCTAGCTTCATTCCATTTATCTGTTGGAACAATCATAGAGTTTCGAGAGCATATTTGGGATTGAAGGACCAATATTCTTGAACAGGCAGCTCAGATTCCAATTAGAGATGATACAGCAGCAAATGAGGCAGCCTTTGATTTTGTAAGGAACGATAAAAAAAGAGAGGTGAAAGCAGAGCATGATGGAACTTGGGCAGCTCACCCAGGACTCATCCAAGCCTGCATGGAAGTCTTCACCAACAACATGGGAAATGCTCCTAACCAAACCCAAACCGTTAAACGAGAAGATGCAGCTAACTTAACAGAAGAAGACCTATTGCAAAGGCCTAGAGGGGTCCGTACCATGGAAGGCATCCGGCTAAACACTCGTGTTGGGATTCAGTACTTCCAGGTTTCTCAAATTTAGTTCCAGTATATTCTCTAATACTTATTGAAGGGCAATCAGTAAATGCTAGGCTCCAACTCCATGGCTGCTAGTAAATTGATTGCTCAGATCTTGCACAGAGGGTGCTTCCTATTTTGTGAAGAGATAGGAAAGGGAGATAAAGAGAGAAGGAGTAGAGATGATTTACATAATCAGCAAACTTTACATTTGTTGTTACATGAGCTGCAAGTTTAGGAAGCAAACATCAGAATTATCATGTCACAGATTACCTGAGAAAGATTGCATTTATTCTTGCGTGATAATGGAGAAGCGTCATTAGAAGTCTCCCAGTGTAACCAAGGTAGCATTACACCATCTATTTCAATAGGGGCAGATCTAAATACTGCTGCACTCTGGCAGTTCGGTGTCTTTGTTTTTCCCCCTACACTTGGACTAGTATCACTCCTGTCTCCATCTAATGATGAAATATCTGTATCTTCAACATTTGTAATGAAATCTTCAATATATTTTTCAGCCTCCTCAGTCAATTGCCTGGACATCCTATTTCTGTCATTGCTCCTCTGGTAAACAACTTGTATATTGATTAAACAATCAAAGAAATATCAATCACCATTCTTACATCAAATAACATCAGAATATAATGGATTTTAACAGGAAAATAATGAAAACATGAAAATAACCATATAAAATACAAAGTCCTCCATTATTGCAGGGAGTGTAAGAGGAAGTTGTACCTTTGTGGCTTGCAATGGTTTCTCAACAGTAGCGTTCTTTGGTTTAGGAAGCAATTCTTTGACAATTTTAGAGAGCTCTCTGCATTGCTGCTCCTCCAACAGAATCTCAGTTAATAAATCTTGTCTACACTTCTCTGACTGTCAAGTCAAAAAATAAAACCAATCACTAATGATTTCCAGTTTGAGGTGCAAAGCCTCAATTAAGGAAATAAATAGCATAAAAAATTAAAAGTAAATAATTAAATAGGTTAACAATTGCCTGCTAATGAAGCATAAATCAAAAACCATGTTAATATGCATGAAAGTATTCTTTTTTCATCGAAAGCAACTTAAATGCAACCTTATTTTTGGTTTCCAATATAAAGTAAAAATCTGGAAGAAACATCAGTTTGGGGCAAGCATGAACCTACAGTACTAGGTCTCCGAGTGGTATCAGTACACCTTCAACTACAAAAAAGTATTCTACAAAGTGCAATGTCTAAATAGTCTAAGACTAAGGAGGCCACATGCAGATGCAACTAGCAACTGTGCTGTACATAGAAAAAACAGGAAAAAAATTTTATTTAAAGTATTTATTAACACTTTTCTGAAGTGCCATACAGAATGCTCATGATATGACTTCACACCTTTTCCAATTTTGTTGTGTACTTCCTTCTATTTGTAGAAACAGCCTGAAGAACATCAGAATTGTCAGATAGCAAACCATCTTTGCTCGCTATGCCTGACTTCTTTGTTTTCACCATTGCCTGCATAAACCATGAGACCATGTGTAGCCAACAAAACCTATGCAGCACATTCTGCTCAGAGAAAACAAAGCACTAAGCATGTTGATAGGACATAGAATTACAAACTTGTTCAAGTTGTGTCTTGATCTCCTCCACAGCATGTCTAAGCTCTTTTCACATTGCAGCATACAACCCACCATTCACATCATCCCCAGTGGGATGCTCTCCCTAACAGGTAGGAAATACAAGAGTGACAGATTTAGCAAAACATCTTCTCAGTGGTAGTTATATAATTGTGATTTTCTAAAAATAAAAATCCAACCTTTTTCTGCTCATAAACTGCTTGTATTGTCCTCTCCATCCCATTTTTTTTGGAAAGAGCATCTCTCCCTTCATCATCAGTAAAAGCAGAAGAATGGCTCTGATTCCATTTACGTATACATTTCATTAAGCTTATGAAATGAATTTGACAAACACAAGTTTGAAAGATGCTAAAAAATCCAGGTACAGTGAGGATTAACCCAACCACTAAATAGCATCCTTGGCTAAAAATCCCACTTAACAAAGTGGTGCTAAGTAAAAGTTAGAATTATATTTTTCCAAGAGAAAGATAAAGCTTACAGAGCAGCCATCATGGTACTTTAAGTCTTTTTGGCTGAGAGACCTTCTCAGTCCTTGTCTATTATTTGAAGCTGTTGGTTTATGAGTTGAGGATACCTGATTGTTTCCACCAATGGAACTCATACTAGCAACGTTCCTTGAGTTCTGTGAATGATCTAGATCACTCTGCAATTTTTAGAAACAAGAAATGCATACATCTTAACAAGTTCGTATTTTTTATTATTATTCCTAGTACAACGAAAAAACCACTAGGTTTAATTAAAGCCAACCATACTGTCTATTATCAATGATACTTCATCTTTAATACAGATACAAGAAATAAACATATTTGAATAATTGTGCGAAAGTTCAAGAACCCCGCATTTACTTTCTTCAAATGCAATGCAAAAGTACCTAGTTTAATAAAAGATTATCTACTGTTTAAGTAAAGGAAAATGATTTGTGATCTAAATCATGAAAATCCACGAAAGAAATGCCAATGAATGAACTTAAACTCCTAGATTCGGAACATAAACTTAGCAATGACACTTGAAATACCATAAAAGTTTGATAGTTATTAGATACTTGAAAGAGAAGCCGGAAGTCCTTACCAAATAATCCCACATTTTTCTCATTTTGGCCAAAGTATTTAGAACGCCATTAAGGAGATGTTAAAAGTACATGCCCCAGATGATAAAAGTTTTTAGTTGGCTTGTCCACATAAATTGATCTTTGAGTCCAAGTTAAGCAAAAATCAACCACAAAAGCAAGCAGATTGCGAAGTCTGATCTCCAGATACTGTGTCATTCATGGATTTAAATAGCGTCCATGATGCGGTATAAGGGCCGCTATTTAGCGGTAGCATCAACCTCCACCACCATTACTCACCACAATAGGTAAATCGTCATTCGTACACATAGCGGTGTATTGCATCCGCAAATAGTAGTATAATGGAAAATTGCAGCCACAAAGGGATGCTAAAATCGTTATTTGTGGTTTTCTTTAATATATCTATGAATTTTATAACATATTAATTTTAAGTTATAACTAAAATATGTGAAAAAATTATTTTAGCCTGTAAATACAAGATTAAAATATAATAAGTTACTTTAAATATCGTAAATAAATATTATTATATGAAACTATTCTTTTGCTTTATTTTATGATAAATTGTGAAAATCTTAAATAAATTCACGATCATGATAAGCAAGACTATTGTTATCTTATCCATTATGTCCGCAATTGCGATAAATGGAAGCAACCAAAACGCAGTCTAGACCGCATTTTAGATACCTGATTATAACATCCAATTTATCCAACTGGATTAAACCACTAAACCTTTACAGAGCTAAACATTCTAATATGGCTAATGAATTCTTCTAAATAATGAGCACAGACAAACGAACAAAAACAATATTAATGATGATGATGATGATAACAATAGTACCTCAGAATCATTAATTTGATACCTAACAGCCGAGACCGATCTTCTCCTTCTGGAGTTAGCAATATCCGAAGTTAACCTTCCTCCAGCACCACTATTTACAAAACTATCCCAGGATCCTTGCCTGGAAATGGACCGTCCTCTTCTCTGAGTCACACTCTCTCCTTCGCCATCACGGGGGCTGAGGTCAACATACCGCAAAGCCGAACGTCCTCTGAGGGAGGAGTTAAAGAGCTGGATGGCGAGATCGTCGAGGCTAATCTCCGGGAACCCCGATCCCTTGACGGTATTGACGAACCTCTCTCTGGTGAGGGGAGGAGCAGGAGTAGCCTCATCATCGTATTCGGCAGCTCTGGGAAGACGGTGGGAGAATCTACTGAGACTCCTGGCGCGGCGGTGGACGGAGGTGCCGTTGGAGGAAGAAGAGTCTCGGATGAGTCGGAGAGGGAAGTTCTCTTGGTGGTTGACAAAGCTGAAGTTGCCATTGAAAGAAAGAAAGACAGATAGAGAGCAGAGGAAATTAATATAGGAGGAGTGCTTGAATGTGGGATTTATTAGGGATTTAGAGAGGTTATCATTTGGGGCTGTTTTGAAAAAGAGAGAGACAGAGAAGCTCAACAAGAAGGTACAGATAGCTAAGCTGACAGACAGAAAAAAAAGAACAACGTCTTTTGAAAAAAAAAAAAAAGGGAAAATTGGCCGAGAGATCGAAAATAGGGGGAATTGGAAATATGGGAACTGTTTTAACTTATACTTTAAAATGACCCTGGGTTTTCTGTTTAAATTACGAATTTACCATTGACCAACTGATAACGCCCCCTTACCAATTTTTTGGGATAATACCCCTTTTGACCTACGAATTATTATGCTTTTTATAATGTGATCCCTAAATAAAAATATTTTAATCAAATATTTAAACTTCATTTTCATGTACCTCGATTCCTTACAACCGTTAAAATAATGTTGATATAATATTTAAATATTAATATAATTAATAATTTATTATTATATGATTTAAGATGTGATTGTTATATATATATTTTTAAAATTAAAAAATTATTTAAAGTATAATTTTTTTAAAAAATTATTTTATTTTTTAAAAATAATACATAACTTTCAGAAGAGTGACATGATAATCGCATATCATTTATATTTACATTTAAATGTCCATCAGAGCAATACTCTAACGATGTTAAAAATTAAGATAATTTAATACATAAAAATAAATTTTAAGTATTTAATTAAAAAAAATTTTTGTTTAAATACTGCAATAAAAAAATTCCAATAGAAAAAATTATTTTATTTTTTAAAAATAATACATAACTTTCAGAAGAGTGACATGATAATCGCATATCATTTATATTTACATTTAAATGCCCATCAGAGCAATACTCTAACGATGTTAAAAATTAAGATAATTTAATACATAAAAATAAAATTTAAGTATTTAATTAAAAAATTTTTTTGTTTAAATACTGCAATAAAAAAATTCCAATAGTTCAAAAGTCAAATAAAGTATTAATTCTTTTTTTAATTTCTCTAAACATAATTGGTGGGAAAACTTTTGTTTTGATACTGTCAATAGTATCAGGCGAGTTGTACAAATTGTATTTGAACAGATATGGAAATGACATCCAAAAAAGCAAGGCTGTGGTTGCCCGTCCTCCCTATAGAAAACATGGGTTTTAAATATGGGACACCACCATCCACAATTGTATATGTTCAACTCACATACGTTGATCGGCCAGTGATAACCTTTTTCATTTCTAAATCAGAAGAAAACGAGAAGTGGGAACGAAAGTAATATAGTTATCACAACCATGAAATGAGAAAAAGTCCCAAAGCATTACTCTGTCTTTCATATTTCTTTGAAACTGGAGAATGTTGGTAATCCATTTCTAAATCAGAAGAAATGCCTAACTACTTCACAGATCAATGACGCGAGACAATTTCTGGATCCTGTTTAATAAGAAGTCTCCTTGTTTAATAGTTGCCTGGTAGAGAGCATTCTTTCCATCAGGGCGGTTAGTTTCAAGAACACCAGCAACCTTGTCAATCCTGCAATGAAGCTTCCCCGCTGCAATAAAACGTGCTAGCTCCCTGGAATCATGGAAGAGAAACAATCATGCCAGGGCAGGAAAAATGATACAGCCATATCAACATCAAATGAGAAATTGCCCTACAGAAACTCGAGCAATTTTAACGGAAGTGATAATGAACAGGGAAAAAGGTATAGATATGCATAGGGAGATCATTGGATGTAACCACTTACAGATCAATGAACTCCACTGTCACCCCAAAAGCCTTTGCCATGGCTTCAATTGTAACACTCTTGTAGGATTCCAAAAATTGAGAGTAAACAACAGTTCTAACCTCCCTCATGTAAAACCGGAAATGAGGATGCAAATAGCGGTCCAATTTAATCTGCTCTGTCAGGCCAGCTGATATATAATTCAAACAAATTGAATGAATCGATCAGAAATTTGAGCTTCTATCGAATGTGAGAAAACTCATAAATGTTGGGAAAGCAATGGCACTAGATAAGAAGGAATAAATATTGGGACAAACTGACGATTCAACATCAAGCTATAAAAAATCACTAGACCTATACATACCGAATGCTAAGAAGAATGATTTGTACTGACAATCATAAAGAGAGTTTAAAAATTCTGAAAGATATGGAATTTTTCCAATCACAGTCAGAATCTCAGGAGCATCAACCACCTATAACAATTAGCCATTCAGTAACTTTGACTGACCCAAATATTAAATAGTACAAGTCATAGGACAACAATGTTGAGGAAAACTCCAAAATACCTTTTGTTTCAGGGAAACTCTATCCAATGATATGATGCTTGTAAGCACGGTGTAAAATATGAATGTGTCATAAGGGAAAAGTTCATAAGTTGTGAAGGTTGAAATGGAACCCAGAAACAAATTGGCAGCCTTCTTAAAATTTCGAGTGGACATGCAATACAAGCCTTCATACACCTTCAAACGATTCTTCCTCTCCCAGTCACCTCCTCCTTCAAACAAGCTGGCATCAAAATATGAGCAGCAATAAGTAACTGGGCATACATCTCGAGTTATGCAAAAGTCTACACTGATTTATATTGTTAATCCATATGATTATATACCTTTTTGCTTTATCAATGCTCTTGGAAATAAGATCAAAATCCATGTAGAAAAACCCAATCTGCAATGTATAGAACACCAAGTCCATCTTTTGCCCAACAGCAACTGTCTTGCTTTCTGTAACCTTCAGTTGCTCCAATGCTTTCTCCTAGATTAAGAAGCACATAAGTCAGATGAGAAATATAGAGCTCAAACATAAATAGATGAGCAGACATCAACTTCAAGAGCACTAAACTACAATTCTAAATACCTTTTCACCTATCTGAATGTAATATAAGGATTTAGCCAACTGTGCTTCTCGAACTTCACTTTCACCTAAGTTTTCTTCAGCATCAGCAATCCTACAATGCCAAAAGGTAGACTTGAGCTAAACATAATTCAATAAAAAAATCGTCCAATATATCAAGATGTGTTTCTTTCCTTTTTTAAAGAGGGGATTGGGGGGTTGAAAACTATTGAGAAATAGTTAATGTGCAAGAGTTTCAGGAGAAAATTAAGCCCATTTTATGGTTCGTACATTAAAGCATGTGCCATTAATTATAAATTTTTAGTTCTGCAATTGACAGCATCATTAGTTCAAAATCCTAATATTATTAACATGCAAACTCTCAAGCAATTGAGAGGGAGTTATGATCTTGGATAGGTGTACATTCTTATATAGAAAGAAAAACTGCTATAGATTCAAATCCCTCTAACTACTTTTTGAATGATGTGGAGTGGAAGAAAATAGAATATCAGGCAACTGAAAAGGAGTTATGATGTTAGAAGGGTGTACATTCTTGTATAGATTGAAAAAATGCTATAAATTCAAATCCTTCTAACTACTTTCCGGAAACTGGCAAAAAAAAAAAAACTACATTCCGGATGTTGTGGAGGGAAAGAAATAGAAAAGGTTTTGATAGGGAAGAATTACCCACCTCAAAGCTCTTGAATACTTGGATTTACACTATTTGTTTTCCATTTCATGGCCAGGAAGTGTTAGAAGTACAGGATGCTATAGATTTTGTTGATCTCTTGTTTTATAAAACCAGCATTGTACAAGGGTTGGCATTCCCTTGGTGCTTTTAGTGTGTTCATTTCCTCTACCAAAAGAAGGGGAAACAGTAATTATTACTTCATCCCAGTTCATAGTTTTTTGTCTGCTGAAAGAACTAGAGAGTTGAGATAATTAAGGTACAACCAAGAGTAATACCTATTCTGTTCTTTGTACTAAAAGAACACTCAACTCATATCTATCCAACTCAGCAGTATTTGATTAACAGCATAAATCACTCAGCATTTGGACATAAATCTCCTAAATGTTATCACTCCAAACAAGAAACCATAACAGTAATAAATCTCTCACAATAACAGTTTTAAATGAAAACTGCCCTATTTGTTGCAAGAGAAGTATAAGGAAAACAGACCTACAATTCAATCCATCACAACACTAATTAAAATTTCAATTCTTGAAGCCCCCAATTGGTTCAGAATCTGTCTCTTTCTCCGAACTTCAATTCCACTACAACTTCCAAATCTATATGCACCTTAACACTTCTTCACCTCTCCCATAAGTCTCATGCAATCACCAAGCAAGGTTTCAGTCAATTCAGTTTAGGCTAAAGTTCCAAATTGTATTCTCATCAATTTAAGAATTAAATAAACCCTAACTAACAATGTGAACCAAAAACCTAACAAATGTAACCGGAAACCTAAGATCTTATACTTCCCATCCACAATTAAGACCAGAAAACCTCAAATCTATAATAAAATTCCATTAATCTTAATTAATCAGCAACCAAACAGGACAAGAAAATTGAAGACAAAGAAAAACTCACTTATCGTCCAGCTTCTTAATCTCGTCCTCGTTCTTGGCAAGCATTGAGTCCAAAACGCTCTGATCCAGCTCCACTAATTTATGACCAACTAGAGTTTCATAATATGGAGTCATATCTAAAACCGCCACAGCAAAGAAAAAAAACACGCAAGGCATTTCGTGTTAGAGTTGAATCCGAATAATTGACTCAGAAAAGAGAAGAGTTGATTCGGGCAAGTTACCATTGGATTTGACTGAGTTGAGGACCTCATCCTTGATACGGATCTTCTCGATATCAGGAAAGTCCGGGTGCTTGAGGAGGAAAACGTTGTGAGCAAGGATGAGTTGCTGTGACTGCTGAATTCCTTCTTGCGCGTCCATTGGTGAGTCGATTAAGTGAGAACTGAGTTGGTATGAAACGAATTAGCTTCTCCTTTTCGTTTGATTGGGAAAGGAGAAATCAGACAACCGGCTTCGTCGGGGATTTGCATCTTATATGCGGGAAGGAAACTTCACGCGCTTCTCTGTCTTCAAAATTTAACAACGTCGTCGTTTAAAAAGAGAGTCTAGATTAAGGTCGAAGTCGGTTGGCGAATTGATATAGAAAACGCTGTCGTTTTAAAGTGTATTCGAGTTATAATTCCTTTCTTTACTTCGCGTAACCGCGTTGAGCATATATCGGTTACATCCTTCCCTTCTCTCTCTACATTGCAATGGCTACTGCCGTCCTAGCTGCGGAGCCGAAAAAGCACCCACGTCCGGGCCGTGGCGGGTTTCAAGACCACGGCCTAACTGAAGAAGAGGCCCGAGTTCGAGCTATTGCCGAAATTGTCAACTCAATGGTGGAACTCTCACGGAAGAACAAAACAGTAGACTTTAACGCGATCAAATCCGCCGCGTGTCGAAAATACGGACTCGCACGCGCCCCTAAGCTGGTGGAGATGATCGCGGCATTTCCTGAGTCAGACCGTGAGTCCCTGCTTCCTAAACTCCGAGCCAAACCTGTCCGAACCGCCTCCGGAATCGCAGTCGTGGCGGTTATGTCGAAGCCGCACCGGTGCCCGCATATTGCGACTACGGGGAATATTTGTGTGTATTGCCTCGGTGGACCAGACTCGGATTTTGAGTACAGTACCCAGTCGTATACTGGATATGAGCCAACTAGCATGCGAACAATTCGAGCTAGGTAAGTTTTTACCTTTCTGGAGTAATCAATTAGCTTAATTTGAGTATTTGAGCTCGTTGATTTCTGCTTTGATATTGGAAAACTATTCAAATATGAGTATTTAGTTAAGTTTTGAAACTTATGTACTGATTTTTTGTTCATTGAAAACTTATATCCCTTTCTTTTGATACAAACCAAACATAATATAGAATGATTATCATCCTGTGTACCAAACATGAACTGAGTTCTATGGTATAGTTAGAAGCCAACTTTGGCATTCTTAACAGTATGATTATGGGATTTTCAGGTTGAATTCATCTTGATGGGTGGTACTTTCATGTCACTACCAGCAGATTACCGAGACTATTTTATTAGGAATCTTCATGATGCTTTGACAGGATACACTTCTGCCAATGTTGAAGAGGCGGTTGCCTACTCGGAGCATAGTGCGGTAAAGTGCATTGGAATGACAATTGAAACGTGAGTTATCATGTAGCAATTTGAGATATCAATATTTTAGTCTTTTAAGAATTGTCAGGTTTAATTTATTTTCTAGTGATTGGGACTCAAAACTGGTATAATTGGTCGTTTGGTAGAATGTAGACAATTATCAGAATTCCTGCTTATTTTATTATTTTCAAAAATTGGGGCTACTAGGTATGGTGTCACTTGCTCTACTGTTGCATAAAACTAGGCAGGACTGCAGTTTCTGTGTAACAATAGTGTCCAGAGTTGAAAATATGCTTTTTTCTTGCAGTTTTCTGTATCAGAAATATGTAGTAAAAATTTGTTTGATTTTTACTTATCTTCTTGATTATCACACACACTGCATACTTAATATGAGGTTGACTTCCTCTGATTCTAATCTACAGTAGGCCTGACTATTGCCTTGGCCTCATCTGCACCAAATGCTTTCTTATGGTTGTACACGACTGGAGATTGGAGTTCAAAGCACATGAGGATGTTGCTCGTGACACTAATAGAGGACACACAGTTGCTGCAGTAGCTGATTGTTTTTGCTTGGCAAAGGATGCTGGTTTTAAGGTATCTCAATACCCTGCCATACATGCTATTCTCTAGAGTGAGAAGACAGTTGCATTTCCTCTAGTTATCTCTATATGGTAGAAAAAAACCCCGTTCACCTCTTCTTCTTCATTGTCCTCTCTCCTTTCTTTTCCCTTTCACGTGTAGTGCAACCATTGAACAAAACAAAAGATCTTTTGAACTCTAAACGGCATTGTCTATCACAAACCATATACCAAATTGACTGAAATCAAATTTCATTGCAATGGAGTATGTGGCTTAATTATCAGTTTTTGCATTTTATGCATTTAGGTTCTTTCAATTTTATCCTCTCCTTGAAATTTTCATTTCTTTTCTGGAGGTTGTTGCTCATATGATGCCTGATCTTCCTAATGTTGGTGTTGAGAGAGACTTGGAAAGTTTTAAGGAGTTTTTTGAGAGCCCTTTATTTCGAGCTGATGGGCTTAAAATTTATCCCACCCTTGTAATTCGTGGAACTGGCCTCTATGAGCTTTGGAAAACTGGCAGGTATAGTTATCTATACCTCTTTTTTTGAGATTCCATGGGTCATTATTTTCTTTGGATTTCTGGTTCCTTTCAGGTTTAATAGGAAGTAATAATTATAGTTATTTACTTTTTCAGGTATAGAAATTACCCACCTGAGCAGCTTGTGGACATTGTGGCAAGGATCTTGGCCATGGTACCTCCTTGGACACGTGTTTATAGGGTCCAGCGGGATATTCCTATGCCTCTGGTTACTTCAGGGGTTGAGAAAGGAAATCTTCGTGAGCTAGCTTTAGCACGTATGGATGACTTGGGCCTGAAGTGTCGGGATGTTCGAACACGTGAAGCTGGAATCCAGGTAAGGAGAGACAATGTTGCTCCTCAGGAATCTGTTCATGCTGAAAAACATTAACCTTTTGAGGATGTAATGATGTGTTTATTTGGATACAGGACATTGTAAAATTAAACCTGAAGAAGTTGAGCTTGTTCGACGTGATTATACAGCAAATGAAGGTTGGGAAACATTTCTGTCATATGAAGATACACGCCAGGTACTGCAAAGACCTTCTCTTTATATTGGGGTGTGTGTCACTGTGTCTACAGTTAACTGCTTGTAACACCCAAATAATTATTTCATGTCCACTTGTTAACTGGCCTAGTTGCATGTTCTTTCCTGTATTAGGGTATAAATATTATATCATATTGAGTTTGAGATTGTCTCCATCTATTTCAGTAATTCTTGTACTTCTTGATACAATGTTTTTAAATAGCAGCTTGTCTGTGCTAAAACATAATATGCCTTCTCATTTTGGACACAGGATATTCTTGTTGGGTTGTTGCGTCTGCGAAAATGTGGCCGGAACACTACTTGCCCTGAACTAATGGGGAAATGTTCTATAGTCCGTGAACTTCATGTGTATGGAACTGCTATTCCAGTTCATGGCAGGGATGCTGACAAACTGCAACACCAGGTAATGATCAATTCTTTAGTACTAAAATATAACCTAGAAAGAACAGAGTTGAATAGAAGTTGCCCTATTTTGAGGTGGATACACATCAAGTTCAACACCTTGATTTTATTTCATTTTTTTAGCACAATAAAATGTCTGGACTTGTCTTCAGCCGGCTCATCCAGTAAACTTTGGCTAACTGCGCATGTTTCTCCTTTCTTTGCAGGGTTATGGTACACTTTTGATGGAAGAAGCAGAGCGTATTGCTCGCAGAGAGCATAGATCAACAAAAATAGCTGTTATCTCCGGTGTAGGAACCCGCCATTACTATAGGAAATTAGGCTATGAGCTTGAAGGGCCTTACATGGTGAAATATCTTGTTTGAGGGTAGTTTTGGATGCAACACAATTTTGTATTCTGTATATCATGGAATTAGTGTAAAACTCTAGTAACATATATCAATCATTAGTTTGTGATATTAGAGTTTGTTCAATTGTTTGTCTGCCGACATGATGCCATATTTGTATCCTCTCCTTCAAATCATTTTCAGACATTTCAATTATGAGCTACATTTTTTCATGACAAACTTATCTTCAATAGACTCACAATGTTAAACACAACTAGTTGGGTTTAAATATATATATATATATATATATATATTTCGTATTTATACAAGTTGTAATATAATAATTTTTGCAGTTACATATGTTTAACATAAAATAGATAAGCATAACTGAAACTTGAGTGATGGAAAACAAAATACCAAACTTGAAACCAGGGCCCATATGCTTAAAAGATTCAAGACAGGAAATTTTGTCATCAACATGGCCACAGCTTCAAGCCCTTGGAAAGTATTTTAAGCTTGCAGGGTCTTTGTTCAGTGATTACTACATTTGTCCCTATCCCTCGGGTGTTTTACTTGAAGTCCCATCGTTATTCACCACCACTCCATCGATAAGTAATGCTCAAATCAACCCTTACTCCAATTTTCTCAGCCTTCCCCGCCAAACCCAGCTATCCAAAACTCCTTTCCCGTGCCATTTCCTGTACCTTAACTTCCGCTCCACCAACTGTTCAACAAAATGCCTCACACAACATCTTCGCAACCCCTCAACTCCCTCCAACTTCAGCTTATATTCACCTCCCTTTCTGTCGAAAACGCTGCCACTACTGCGATTTCCCAATCGTCGCTCTTGGTTCTTCCTCAACCCAAACCGACGACGACGACCCTCGTATATCAAACTACATCCAATTGCTTTGCCGAGAAATCAATGCCTCCAAAGTAAATTTCAAGTCACACCCACCTCTTGAAACCGTCTTTTTTGGTGGGGGAACACCATCTCTTGTGCCACCAAGGCTAGTTTCATCGGTTCTGGATTTGTTGAGAGCGAAATTTGGGGTGAGTTCGGATGCTGAGATATCAATGGAAATGGACCCGGGAACCTTTGATGCTAAGAAAATGGAAGAGTTGGTAGAGCTGGGAGTGAATAGAGTGTCATTGGGAGTTCAAGCATTTCAAGAGGACTTGTTAATGGCTTGTGGGAGAGCACATGGTGTTAACGAAGTTTACGAGGCCATTGAAATAGTGGGGTCGTGTGGGGTTGAGAATTGGAGTTTGGATCTTATCTCTTCTCTTCCTCACCAAACTCCACAAATGTGGGAGGAAAGCTTGCGGTTAACCATTGAAGCTCAGCCTAAGCACGTTTCTGTTTATGATTTGCAAGTTGAACAAGGCACCAAATTTGGAACATTGTAAGTATTACTATGATTATTGGGGAAAGCCATAGCTTTTAGCTTCATGATGGAATGAAAATTCAACTTTTAAATCTTTGTAGGTACACGCCAGGGGAGCTTCCTTTACCTTCAGATGTCCAGTCAGCTGATCTTTATAGAATGGCGTCGAGGATGCTTTCGGATGCTGGTTATAACCATTATGAAATAAGCAGTTATTCCCAAGAAGGATTTGAATGTAAGCACAACTTTACCTACTGGAAAAACAAGCCATTTTATGCTTTTGGCCTAGGGTCTGCTAGTTATGTACGTGGAATGAGGTTTTCAAGACCCAAGAAAATGAGAGGGTACATTAATTTTGTACAGAATTTAGAGAATGGCACGGTGGGTTACACTGGGAATTCTGATATAGACACCGGGGAGTTGGCCTTAGATGTTGTGATGCTCTCTCTTAGAACTGCAAGAGGGCTTGATTTGAAGTCTTTTCAAGGTGCATTTGGTAACTCAGTTGTTGGTTCTCTGTGTGAGGCTTATAAGCCTTTTGTTGAAAGCAGGCATGTGCTTTGCTTGAATGAGCACAGAAGAGTTGTAACTGCAGATGAATACAACACCATGCTATTGAATGGAGACGATATCGGGAGAGGATTAGCTTATATTCGGCTCAGTGATCCAGATGGTTTTCTCTTATCAAATGAATTGATATCTGTTGCATTTTCTGTTATTACTCCCTAGAAAGCTCAAAGTGGTAAAAGGCATTAACTGGGGAAATATGAAGGAAGAAGCAGCACCTGCTTTTGTCACCATGTTGCTTATTGCACTAACTTACTCTATAGCAAATGGAATTATTGGTGGCATTGGGCTCCATTTTGCTCTTAGCTTATATTATTTAGTAGTGGAATTGACTGGGCTCCATTTTGCACCTAGCTTGTATGATTTAGTAGTGGAATTGACTTAAGTGGTTGAACAAGAAGAGGAAAATGGTGGTCAGAGAAGAAAATGAAGTGTCAGCTGCTGCATCTGGGGCTGAGTCCAAGGTTGTGATCATATGAATGGTAGAGAAGCAGTCAAGTTTTTAATTAGAGACTACATTTTTGTTTTAAAAACTAGGTTGGGAATCAAGAATTGTTCTTATAGGCAGTGAAAAGAATCGTTATCGCATCATCACGTCATTTTATTATTTGATCTAATATTCCTTATCTATCGATCATCCAAATAAAGTATTAATATCTCTCATCCAATATCTAAAATATTAGTATAACTTTTGACTGTTTTGTGATTTATTGATGATGATAGAATTAATTTTTCATCGACCTATTTGTTTGTTTGTCATCTTTTCCCTTTTGGGAAAATAATTTTTTTATGCTATAATTATTGCAGCAATTAGCACCAACAAAAATCAATTCAATTAACAAAACATTAAATGCATTAGGTGAAAATAGAAAATATTGAATGTATTAAATTGATAGGAAAGAATATATTTTTAAAATTATTTAGAAACAAAATTTTTTATGATACATAAAAAAATTAATGATATTTTCGTACTTGATTTGAATAAAACATGAAACAAAATTACCTCGACCATTTTTCTTTAAAACATAAGTCAATCAAATATTTTATTTCACATATTATTAAAGATGTTTATGGATCATATCAAATTCAAGTTAGGTTTATATTTGATATTAATAATTTATATGTTTATTTAAATTTGGTTTAATTTTATATGTTTGCTCTTAAAATTTTTTCAAACTCAACCCAAATTAAAATATAAATCTCAAGCCGATCATTAAAGTTAATTTATATAATAAAATTTTAATTTTTTTAAATAAAAAATAAAAAATAAAAAATACATATATATTTATATAATTATAATATTTTAATTATATATAATTTATTTGAGTCGGACACAAATTTTATTTTATTTTTTAAAATCGAATAAAAAATTTAAATAAATTTAAAAATTATATCAAAATTAATTTAATAAATTTTAATTTTTTATCTAAACATTCTTAAAATTTGAACAAATCTTCATCAAATAACACCTACAAGCTTCAGAAAATTACGAGAACAAAAACCAGGTCAAAATTATTATCCTAAACCCAAATGCACCGTCGTAATTTTTGACTTTTTCCATATGATAGATTGCAAAATCATTGACCTTTCTTGAAAAAGGGTTCTGCTCTTGCAAAATTCACATTTTTCAGACAAAGCTATCTAGTCTAATTACTACTAATCCGTTTTCCATGAAATAAACATGTTGATTTTTTTTTTAATTTTATTATTTGTACCCTTTTATCAATGGTAGTTGCTTTTCATAAATTCTTGAATTATGATCTACTTTTGGGTGAAAATGAATAAATTTTAACTGATTTAATTCATGAAAATTGATTAAATTTGGTCTAATTAATTTGATTTCAATAATAATCGATTAAATAAAGTGATTTAATAAATTAATTTGATTAATTTTTAATTTTTAAAATTAATAATTAAATTAATCGAATTAATAAATTTTTAAATATATATTTAAAAACATATATAATATTTTTATTTATATTTTAAAAATAATAAATACGACATTGATAGCAAAATTATTAAATGAGTTTTATTGAGTGAAATTTATTACAAAATTATTATTCAAAATTAATGACAAACAATGGTGAAAAAAAAAATTCAATTTTGACTGCATAGATTAAATCGACCGACCTATGTCCATTATTTTCAGTTATTTAAAAAATTGATTGATTTGGGTTATTTTAAGAAAAATAATTAATTTGATTTTTAATTTTTCAATTTGTATAACAGGCAATGGATCAACATTGAATTTTGTAATTGTATTATAATTTTTTATTATTTTATTTAAAAATAAAAAAGTTAAATATATAATAATAAAATTTAATGAAATTAAAATATAATAACAAAATTGGAATTTAATTTTTTTTAATATTTTTTAGAAAAAATAAAAAGAGGAAAACTTAAGAATATCAAAGTTGGAGCAGCAGACCAATTGCCCCAATAGTCCAACAGGCAATAATACTGAGCTGACTTAAAACGGTTTCGTAACAGGCACAGTTATATTAACTTTAATCAAATTTCGAATCCAAAAGTAAAAATTAAAAAAATTAAATTATATATTTTTATTAATATTTATATATATATTTAAATTTTTATAAAATAAAAATAAGTATTTATATTTAAATTTATTTAAATATATTAAAAATTATATCAAAATAAAAATTAATTTTAAAAAATTATAAAATTTATAAATTTTAATTTCATTCAAACCATATAAAAATTTAATTCAAATTTAAATTAAATTTTAAAAATTTATAATTTTATATATTATTAAAAAATTCAAATTAAATTTATTCGGATGCGAAGTGTCATTCTTACAATCAACAAGTACCTACGAGCTACCCACCCCCACTGCACTATGCCATGTTATTATTAAATGCTCAAGGATCCAGTCAAAGTGCAGTGTTATTAGAAAATCAAAAATCAAACTCAAGGTTTAATTATTTTTTAATTCAAAACGAAACACAAGTCCACTGACCAATTCTCTTTGTCTTCTTTTAAAAAGCGTTTGATGGATGTTAGGTTTTCATAAGACCTTGCTCTGCTCCCACCTGTGTCTTCTTTACTCTATAGACCTTTCTTTTGTTCAACAAAGATCAAAATTTTCAAGTTGATACAATATTTAGAAGGAAAAGGAAAACAACCCAAGTTTTAAAATCTACATTTTTCCCTTTGTTTTACGTTATTGTTGGTTTAAACTTTGAAGTGAAGGGAAATTATGGATTATTTCGAGCTTTCCGCAAGTTCATCTTACCAAGATTACCTTAAGGTTGTTGAAGCTGACATTCAGCATGCAAATGTGCTGTGAGTTCACTCTCTGTTCTCTTTTTTTTTTTTTTTTTGGTTTATTCATGTAGCTGGGACTTGCTTGATGTTGAATGATATTAAAACTTGATGGGATTCTTTGGAAATTCAGTTTTGATTATGTTTAATGGGGTTTCTGTCTGTTACATTTCAACAATCTAGACAAGAAGTCAAAAAGGTCTCCTTTATGTTCTGTTTAAGAGTTGTTTGATGTTTCTATCATACGACAGATTGAAGGAAAATGTTTTTTCCAAGTAAAATATTTGATAGGATGTTTACCGAGTTTCAGGGATCAAGCTGTCATTTTTATAAAATTTGTAGCTTTTGTATCATCATCTCATTTGCTTTTGTATCATCATCTCATTTGCTTTTGTGCAGTAATGATCCATAATTTTAAATTTTTAATGGCATTGCTTTCTGAATTTGCACAGTAATATTTCAATTCTACTCCTTTTTCTGTTTTTTTACTATGTTTTTATAATTTTGTTTTTAAATTGTTGCTAGAGCGGCTTCTATTCCAAGAGCTAAGGGAGGTGGATGTCTTCAAATGAAGCTGGTTTACAATCATTTGGCACCCATTTTCTTGTTTTTTCTTCAGTGGTTGGATGGCTCATGTTCATGTCTACTTTCAAGTTATGTTAACCTATTTCACATTGTTGTGTATCAGGTCAGTTAACTTACACTCACTTATGTATGAGTTTCTTGCGTGAATTCCGTTGTTGTTATTTTTGTTTCCTCTTCTTCTTGCAGTTTTAATCTAGAAAATGAAATCAATTATAGGTAATGAATCTTGTTTGCTTGTTGATTTTTGTTTTTAGGTATGCTGCGATGGCAGGCCAACTATGTCTTCATGTAGAAGGAAAGCAACCATAAGGGAATTCTATTGTATGTGAAGTGAACTACCATGTCTTTTATGTTGTTTTGTTCTTAATTTACACTATATTTGGTGATTTAAGTGTAGAAAAGAAGTGAGAGAAATAACAAAGAAGGAAGAATTTAAGTAGTATCTTATTTCTCTTGTTTTTCATTTCTGTATTCCCTTGACTTTCCAAACAAGAGGAATCATTTGATTCTTCACTTCTATCAGTCCAAATAAACCCGTAAATGCTAATAGTCTCTTTTGGTTTATATTCTTAATTCAGGAATCCTAATTGAGTTCATATACATTATTCTAGTCTAGACCACAATCCAATCCTCCTGGAAGCCTAAACCATTTGTTTTAAAAGATTGAATTGTCTTCTTATGTTTTCAATTTGGATAGAACAGGATGGCATTCATATTTTCGGAATTTATAGAGTTACTGATGTAAAATTGCAGCTGTCATATTACCATCTCTTCAGCATCTTCAAGGTGACCTCTCAGAGCTTGATGTAACTTCAGAGGAAGACCACTGCTTTGAGATGGTTGTCAAGAAGAAATTAGACGATAAGAGGAAAGTATCAGATGTGGAGTTGGAGAGAGAAGATGAATGTGGAATCTGTCTGGAGCCATGCAATAAAATAGTTTTGCCAAATTGCTGCCATGCAATGTGTATCAATTGCTATCGTGACTGGTATGTAACACCTCATTTTTCCTGCTTTTGGACTTGGTCCTTGGTTAATATACAGTAATTGAGAAAATCCTTATCCTTAACATCTAAGCCACTTGGTCTTCCTTACCTTTCAGGAGCTTAAGATCAGAATCTTGTCCATTTTGTCGTGGAAGTCTAAAAAGAGTAACTTCTGGGGACTTGTGGGTTCTTACACACAGTACTGATGTGGTTGAAACCCAAACCATGTTAAAGGAGGATATATTGCGCTTTCATTTGTATATAAACCAGTTGCCTAAGGATTTGCCTGATTCCTTGTTCCTAATGTATTACGAGTATTTAATCTAATCTGCTGGGAGAAATTCTGATGTACAGAGAGAAAATTGCCAACCGTTGGACGTGCATATATTCTGGTGAGATTTTCACATTGAGAATTTCAGTTCCACTATGTTTTTAGCAAAATATTGTATATGATCATGTAAGATTTCTGATTATTAATATATTAATTATCTCTGCGATATCTTTCAGACTTAAAGTTATGTTTGTTGACAATGCACTATGAAACACTTGACTGGAAAACTGTTGGAGGCTCGTTAACATTTTTATGAGCATTTAAACTTTAGAGAGCTTCAAGCATTTCACCACTTTTTTCAGCAAAATAATTACAATACAAGCTTATGCATATGCCCCATTTATTGTGGCCTTCTAGCTTTGTTTGCAATTTTCTTTTTAACTTGAATAATTAATGGCATGGAAGGAAAAACCAGTTCATATATGATAAGCCAGATATAGATGCTAATCAGAGTCAGAGGGACTTTAAATTCTTCCTAATGTAAAGAATTTTGCTGTGAAATGCAGAGATTTATACGAGGGCTCTTAAATAGTATTATTAGGGAAAGTTAATGTCACATGCTGCAAGCTGGTTGCAGTTCCAAATTAAAGGATGATTCAATAAACTAGCATTGCTTGAATATGACTTGGTTCTATGTTTTTTTTTTTATTTTTAGAAAAGAAGCTGCAGTCTAGAGATAAGTAAATGGGTTTCGGGTGCTAGGATTAAAACTTTAGATATGTTAGATACAACTCCTAAGGTGATTGCATGAATCAGTTGAATAAGCCATGAGTCGGCTTTATGCATTTTGAAATGCGACGGAGCATGGAAAATGCAGCAGGAAACAACTGCCAAGAATACACCCACAATTAAGGATCTTGTTTACTTCATACAGCTGTGGCAGTTCCTTATGGTTAATAGGAAAGTGGATTTGATCAAAACTCTACTTTTATTTGTGATTCATTAGACCTATTTATCATCAACATTGCTCCATTATAGTTGGCCGCAGATTGCTAGCTGGTCACTTTGTTATTTATCCAATCACCTTTGAGCCAATTTAATGGCCAATCGGCAATGGCTATCTCTTTTACTGGGGATGTGATGTAAACTAAATGCAATTTTATTGGGTAGGAACAATGAAAGAAGAAGCAAAAGGTTTTATTGTTCCATACTAATAGGTATTACTAATAAGATCGTTTCACTTAAATTAATTTGATGTCCGATTGATTATCTGAATTAAATGGATTTGGTCGGTTAAAACTAAAATATGAACACACCTACTATCAGCATGCTATGTATTAAAGTATGTTCCTCATATCAATGTATTTGATTCAGTGAGAATCAGGAAAATACAGGGCCATATGTTACTGTCATTATTAAACATGAAGAGCCGGTTCTTCATGATTTCTGCAGATTATAGAAAGGGGAAAATATCAGTGAACATATGAAAATCCAAAAGTATTTTTATGTTAGTTTTTGCTTAACTGGTTTAGCAGATGTGAAACATGTACATTCTACTGAGATTTAAAATTGGCTTTCTCTGATTAATCACAAGTACATTATAATTATAGCCATCCAACTCCTCAAGTGAAAACCTTTAATGTGCCAACAGCCACTTGGTGGTTTGGTGGTAGAATGTGGGACTCTTAGTTACAGTAATCATGAATCAAATCCTGACAACCTCAAATATACCAAAACGAAAGCCTTTACTGAATGGCAGGTCAAAGCCAGCAAATTTCCATACCATTTTTATGAATGGCGACTCTTGTCCAGTTTCAAATAATTGCAGTCCAATCTTTTGTTTTCTGTTTATCATTTCAAACAAAGCATATGCTTCACGCTCATTGCCTTCAAATCTTTACTTGAGCTGGACTCATGGGAACTATACTCTGGTTATTTGCAGATTTCTGCTTCAATCATATTGAGATCCTGTACTTCTCTATCAATCTATAATAGTATTATTCTTATGTTTGTCTTTCCATGCCTGTAAAATTAAGATTTAAGCATGCTAACTTTACCAAATTTTACTTTGTCTCTTCACTCACTCTCTTATCTTCCCGTATTCAAGATTTCTGAATTACAACGTAATACATCAATTCTTAATTTTTTTTATAAAAGAAATCACAAATCAAAGATAAAAAATTACAGATGCTAATATTTGAATTTTAGATTTGGATGTCACCTTCGAGTGACTGCATAAATTTCAGGTTCATCCATCGTTTCTTTTGATTCCCACTTAAGATACAAATTAAATTTCTTGTTCTAATCAAACAGAGATCATATTTAATCCCCATATCTGCATTGATAGATAAAAATCAGAGAAGGTTTCTATCATTGCAATATAGCGTGTCCATATCTTGCTAGTGTTGTACTATTGAAAAGACAGATCTCAAGTAAAGCTTCTGGCTTACAGGTCACAAGTGAATTGTAAAGATATAACCAAAGCAATTTCGAAAGACAAAAGGAGTTTGGTGCTTTCATGGCTTCCGCTGTTTTCTTTCCAGCAAGGATTTGAATGGAGGATTACTGAGATTTCCATTGAGAAACATGCCTGCAACTACCTTATACATAGCTTCAGTGAGGTGCACTCCATCCCAGTTGATGTATTCAGAAGGATTTGAGCAAGCAGTGACAGAAGGATTACCACATGTATTAAACACCTCAAAGTTGTAGGGATCTCCTGTTCCACAACATGCCTTGAAGCTCTCTTTGAATCCATATTTCCCTGGATTCTTCATGACCATGCGATAGGCATTCCAATAATCAGCATAAACAATCACAGCTTGGGGAAACTGCCTCCTGAGATCCGACAACTTGGATTGGAGGACAAGGTTGTGCATGTCGCTTTGGTTGTTCACGCTCTTCACACAGCCTATATCATCTCTGTCATCTGATGGTGCCAGTGTCATGGCCAGTGGTAAGCATCCTGCTGTAGGCAGAGCTTGAACAACAACATATTTTGCACCCTTCTTCAGCAGTGCCTGCAAAATCATTGGAACAAAGTCAGTATCAGATTTTATGAACTCCTTGTCATGAATCATGTGCTTAATCCACCATAATCGAGCTTTGGCTACAGTGACGGATCCAGAATTTTTTCGGAGGTGTCCACTTATATTATACATAAAAATATTTAACTCTGTATGACTGAGAAAAAAAGGGAAGATGAAAATTCTTACCCTTTGCCTATAAAAGGAAATGAAGCCAAAAATTACTTTATTACTTGAAGTTAATCAATTACCTGTAAAAACTCAGTGAAACTATATATAGCAAGTTTTCTTATAGTTTCATCTGATACGGTCGATCCAAGAGTATAGGCATAATCATTGACACCAATTTCACCAACCCAGAATAAGGCATCATCCAATGCATCTTTGCACTTAGGCCCTGATTCTGGCCCTTTACAACCTTGACTCTCCAAGTACTTGTTAAACCAAATCATTTGAGTTTGGATTGATTCAGGGGTGATATCAAGAGAAAGGTTGTTCTTAACAAAGAAAGCATGATTTATTGCTGTTGAGCCTGCTACAGCAAAGTTCACCCCATAAGCTCTGTTGCCTTTGCTGTTACGGTAGGGTGGCAAGAAAGGCAAAGACAATGATTCAGCCACAAAGTCAATGACCAGCCGTCCATCGGAGTAACGGTTGGTAGGGTGGTGAAAGAAGGTGGTGCCATAGGGAGGGTTGGAAACATGAACAAAGCCATTGGGACCAGTGAGGGACTCCGTGTTACCGGTGTCAGTGAAAGAGTCCCCAAAGGCATAGATCTTCTTAAAGGGTCGTTGGCTCGTATCAGTTACAGCAAAAGCAGAAGGCAAAGAAGAAGATAGGATGAAGATTGTTGTGACTGTGATGAGCATCTTTTGCAAACAAGAAGGTGTTGAAACAGTAACCATTGTTTACAGGCTTCTTAGTCTTCTTAGTATCGCAGTGTCCTTTGGCACTTTGATAAATATATATATATATATATATATATATATATATATATATTATCTGTATTCCCAATCCCAGCACTTATTTAATGACATATTGCAATCTGGCCATACAATTTCTCGTAACCACAATTTTTTTTAATTTTACTTCAAACCGAAAAAAATTAAATCTTGATAATTAAAATTAAGAGTTTAATATTTCACCAACGAATCTTCGAATTAATATATTCAAGAAAGATAATTAATGGTGTCAACTTCCGAGTCGAGGGTGAAAACCTTAAAAAAAAAAAAAAAAAAAGAGAACAATTATGATAAAATCATGAAATATTTTTTACCTTTGAGCTCTGATGCTTAAGAGATCAGGACTAAAAAAATCAAAAGGAGAAAAAAAAAATTGTAAGAAAATAATGAAATTGAATTATATATTATATATGTTATATCAATTTAAAAGTAAAAAATATATCTAATTATATGTTGACAGTAACTTATTAAAGAAATGACCAATTTAATTTTTAAACCCAAAAATACCCTTTAATCTATATTAAAATTTGAACAAAAAAAATGTGACGTTTTACAATAATCTCTTTTTTTCTTTTCAATCTATACCCGATCTTAATTCTTAAATATTGTTATCTTCCGCACACAATCTTTAATCACCACTATAGGAAAGCAAAGTTACTCAGTTGTTTACCAAGAAAATTGGCCAGATGATAGGTTATTCCATTCTTCAACTTATGACAAAATGAATTAGACTACGTGAAAAGAACATGTAATCAAACGCATATCTGCACAATCAAATTTATATTTGAGTTTTTCACGAATGAAAATAATAGTATAATTGATTAAGTTTGAGTCGATACAATATTAAATTTAAACTCGAATTTGATTCGAAATTTAATGTTTGAAATTCGACTTGAATTCGATCGAATTTTATTTTTTTAGCTCAAGTTCATCTCAAAATAAAAATCAAACTATTTGAGCTCATTCGATTAAGCTCGATTATTATCTAAAAATAAATTTGATTCTTATATTCGACGAAAATTTGATTATTTATACTCGAGCTCGAAATATTTTATTAATTAAAATAATTAAAATATATTAAAATATAAAATTTTAATTAAACTTGTTAGTTACTCGAGTCGAATATAAAAATATTCGAACTCAACTCAATCGATAAATCGAGCTATTCGAATTTGAACTCGACTCGATAATAATCGAATCGAATTTAAATTTTATTCAAATCAAATCTAAATAGCATGTGAATAACAATGTATCATTTACATATATAATAAAAAAGTATCACATTATCGAATTAGATTATTTTGTTTGAAAATAAGGACCTATCATTATTTTTCTGATATGATGATTTTTAGAATTTAATTTAAATGATTCGTTCGTTTTTTTAAAAGGTAGATTTTTACAAAATTAAAATTTGATTTTTCGTGCTTGCAAGATTAGGTTTCGATTTTTTTTTTAATAAAAAAATCACAAGAGTTATGCACTTGTGAGCGGTGACTGGTATATAGGATACAGGTATTAAATTTTAGAGGTGGAAAATCTTATAAAGTAGCGGAAACAACATTAGTTGGGGCTTTAAATGTGAAAGGAAACCAGTCACCAGTTTCTTCGGCGACTTTAGCATGGGAAAGATGAAATAATTTTTCATTATTGTAGTAATAAATAAATTGTGTCCCTTATGCGTAATTCAAATAAAAATATTTATCTTTATAATATGAAAACATACATTTTTTTCTTAAATTTTCATCAATCAAAATGCTATATAATAGTGATAATTAAGCTAATAATTAATTAGTAGGATCCGAATGATAAAAAATTTAATTTTTTTAAAATAAAATTTTAATTTTGAATCTTGTTAATAAAAAAAATAAGCTTAAAAAAATTTATCATTTTATGAAATTTTATCTGACTCAATTTCAAATTAATCGAGGCTCAAAATAATTACCGGATTCGAAGGGTTCCAAACCAAAAATAATAATAATAATAGATGGGGCTTTTTATATATTAGAAATTTGAGATTTAATTTTTTAAAATGAAATAAATATATATATCAATTATTAAATTAAATATATTGCTGTTATATAAAAATTAATTTAATTCAATTAATTTATTTAATTATTTTTAAAAAATTGACATCAAAATTTTATTATATTTGAAATTCAAATTTTAATATTTATCATTTTTTATACATAAATTATTATTTTTTATATAAAAAAATTATACCAATAAATATTTTAATTAATAAAAAAAGATTGGAGTACAAGTATTAGGGTTGCCCCCTGCCCTTTATATCTCACTCTGCATCAAATATATTTGCAGTGCTATGGTGAGCGATCCTTCATTATTATAACTACCTGTATAAATTCACTGATGGCCTGGTGGAAATTCATTAGACAATCTGTTGTCAATATCCACAGCAACGATGCAGCTACCAAAAGACATGTCCCATCTAACACTAACAGGGGATGTCGTCCCTATCTGTCAACATTACACTTCCATTATAATTGCTTTGGTTGGCTAGTACGCTTGAAGATAGATAATGTTGAATTTGAATTTTAAATTTTTTAAATATTATTATTTTTAATAAAAATTACATAAATTAATTGAATTAAATTTTAAATTTAAATTTTTTTGTATAAAAATGTAAATATAAATTTTTTATAAATAAATAAAATCATAATCTAATCAAGATATAATATACTAACAAAAATGTTACGTGGTAGGTTAACATAAACTTGGTTGATATCTTGACAATTTAATTTTGAATTCGATTTCAGCTTATCATTTATATTATGTTCGTAAATCGAATTAAATTTGAATTTGACAAATAATTTATTTAAAAGCATTTTTAGTTAAGTTTTTGTGACGTCTCAAATTTTATATTAAAAAATATTTAAATAAGATATAATATATATATAAAGATCTAAAATTAAACTTGTAAAGTATATTTTGTAAAATAAAATCATAAGATTTTTGAGTTAAAACAGATAATATCTTACAGATTTGGTGTGAGTCATTATAAATAGTATCAGAGTAGTTACCAATCGATAAAAACTAAATACTATATCATAGGAGTTACTAAATGTTATATAATGGGATCGTAGGAATCACTAAATATTATACATTGAGAAAACAACACTACATCATATAATTCACTAAGTGCTACATAGTGAATTCTTGTGAATTACTAAGTACTACATGATAAAGAGCGATTTTTAGAATCTTAATATTTGGTGTAATATTGGTTTTATGGACGGTGGATTCGTAAGAGTCATTAAATGTTATATGATGAGAAATCACTTTTAAAATTTTAATAGTTGATATGATTTTGATCTTACAATTAGATTTGAAAGAGCCGTTAAATTTATAAAAAAAAATTATGACACCTTCACATATTGAAAAAATATATTGATACGATATAAAATATACGTAAAGATCTAATGAAATAAAATCGTGAAACTTTTTAACTAAAACAAATAATATCTTACAAGTTAGATATAGATCTCCATAATTTTTTATTACTTTTTGTATTTTTAATATATATTTATTATTATCGTGGAGATGTTTGGTGTCTAATTATTAATTATATAGAGCATTAATCATTTGTTAATACTTGAATTTGAGTTGCTCTAATTTAAGTTCACTTTGGGTTCAAGTTACTCTGATAATTGAGTGTAGTATTAAAGAGCTTGCAAGCTTAATTTGGGTTTTACTTTCTAATACATATAATTAATTGTATCATTTAATTTTTTTACTGCTTTTTTTTTTTTTGGCATTTTGAAAATTTCTTGTCAAAAATTTAAATTTAAAGAATTATTTTAATTTTGCTTAAATGTTTTCTTTAGAATAAATTTTTGCATTTTTGCTTAATTTAAGTTGAATTTGAACTAAAAATCAAATGGGCTGTAATGAAACATTTCTTTCTTAAACGTTTCCACGAGGGAGCCTACTGCACGTAAAGAAGTAAAGCGTGGGACAGGTAGGTTTCGAAAATTCTCGAGCCCAACCTAATCTAACTTGTATTGTTTGGTCCGGGCCGCGATATCATCTTTATTAATTGCACGGTTCAAGGCTTCAAGCCTAGAGCCCTGCTTGAATGAAACGATAATAGTAAAGTGATAACATGGAACAAATATGGCTAGAGCTAGAACCGCTTCTCTTGAAAGCATTGCTGGAAGAATTTTGATGTTTTAAGGTTACTATAGGTTCTTTCTTGATTAGTTCTATGTGGTCTCCTAGTGTAAATGTTGATGCTATTTTATAATGTTTGAATCTCTATTTCACTACCAACATCTGTTGATCCGAGTAATTAAAAGATTTAATTTTTATCAAGTAAGATTTTAGTTTTGAATAGTATAAATAAATAAAATAAATGTTGGAAGAGCTTGCTCTTCTTATGGGGTCCGATTCGACTCTACTTCAAATTAGTCGAAACTCAAATGACTATTGAACACTAGAGGTCCTAGGCAAAAAAAAAAAGAAAAAATCTCTACTTCATTTATTAAGTAAACGATTTATTTGGAATTAAAAACAGGGAAATAGTAAACACATCCATTAGGATGATGTCACGGACAAGGTGTTTGTTAGGGAGCTCTTGTAGTGGTATTCTCAATACAGATATTTTGTATATTAGCACAGTGAAAGCATAAGTGACTTGCAGATTATGCTTTTCGGCATGTGAATATTTGGTCAACCAATGGGATGGATATAATCCATTAGATCGATTGCTTACTGATAGCACATAGAAATTAAATATAGTGAAACATTTTCTTATGTTGATGAACTATGTGTATGTATGTGGATATTGATAAATGGACCATTATCCAAGAACATTCATATGCTGATGATCCTGGTTGTTCAAATTGCGTTGTCACTTTAAATAATGGCTTGTATGATTTAGATGATATATTCTTGGGCTAAGTTCTTATTACCACTTGATGTAAGATTTCGTAGACTGTTAGTTGTGTTTTGAGTAGCAGTCCTGTACATGCAGGAACTTCTTACTCGAGGAAATTGATTTTACTAGCCTGATTAAATTCTTCATTTTCGTTTAAGTTCAATCCAGTCTATAAATTGTTTCTAACATTCTGGGAATCCATTTTTGTTTGTGTTGATGAAATAGCAGGCTGTAACACGGAAGAAGCTAGTTAAGAGTGTGGGGTTATGGGATTCAGTGCGGGAAATAGCCAGATTGTATGATGCTGGAATGGGAACTATCATATTTGCACCAGTAGCAGTGTGTGTTATCATGGTTCCCATTCATTTCAACCTTCCAATCACGCCTTCTCTTCAACCAAGCATTCAGGCTGGATTTGGATGTCAATGGAGCCACGTTTCAGCGCGATTATCACGGTTTTTTGTGCAATCGTACTGTAACAAGATGTTTGAGTAACAAATTGTGGTGCGATTGTCGTAAAAAATTTACATTAGAACCCCATTTTCACAACAAACACCGCTCCTTTTAGCCAGGGCCGAAGATTTTTATCATTATTTTTAATTTTATCGAAATTAATTTCACCGTTCATTCAAATAGAGCTTTAACTGAAGGCTGGAGATTTTTATCATCCTCGCTGAAAACAAAACCAATGTTGAGAAATGAGCATCCAGCTTGCTTCTCTGATGTGCATATAATTGTAGAAAGCATCCATAATTCTTTTTTTTTTCTTTTATAGAAAATATCTTTCACTATTTTCGGCCATGGACCCTGAGCTCATGCGAGAATTGTCTCTTGAACTACAATCGTTTTCAGAGAGAGTACATCGAACTTCTATGCTTCTTGATATAATTATATATATATATATATTTTTACGAAAGTTTATAACTTTTTAAGATAGATTATATAAATTAATTGAATTTTAAATTTCGGATTCTTGATGTAATTATATATAATTATAATTATAATGTTTATTTTAATATTTAAATCAAAATATTCAAAATTTTAACTGGACCACGGTTGTGACGGTCGGAAATGATGTGCTGAAAAAAGAGGACAAGATAAAGCAATTGAATTGAACAATAGTTGCATTCCTTAATTAAAATGGTGAGAGAGGGCTTTTTATCGTACGATTCGTATTATTGTATCATATAAAATATTATATTTATATTATATTTTATATAAAAATTACGTGTTACAATTCGAGTTGATATAAAAATATAAAATATAATTTTTTAATTTTATTAAACTTATTTATAATTTTTTTAAAATTTAAATTGTATTATTTACATATATTTTATTTATATTATTTTTATATCATGTCATCGTAACATAATTTAAATTATTATATTTACTTTTTCTTTTATAGTTGCATTCTTTGATTAAACAATATCGGCCTACGAGATATTAATAAAATATTATCACATTTAATATTATTTTTTTATATATAAAAAATTATCACTAGCGAAGTTTTTAACAAAATTAATAAAATGACATATTTTTAAGTATAATAAAAAAATAATTAAAATTTTTAACATGTAATAATTTTTTAATCTTGTTTATGAAATTTCAAAAAAATTATTTTTAGTATATAAGAAATGAACACTTTATTATTAATTGAAAATGTGGTAGAATCATTTCGTAAAAACTCGCACTGATTGAATAAAAAAAAAACAATTTTTAATAATAAAAATTTAAATTGGTCTAATTTGATTAATTATGTTAAAAATCAAAAGTTTAGAAACTTGCCTTGAATAAGAACATAACCAATTAACCAAAAACTAAAAGGGCAAATAAAAAAAAATCCCCTCCCTAAAAAAAAATGCCCAGAGCTTAAAAACGTGTGCGCCTTCCCTTATATTAAAAGTAATAGTAAATTATGTACAAACAAAATTAACAAACATTCCTTAATATTCTCTCCCACTTCTTTCTCTTTAATTAATAAATTTATATAAATATTTTTTTCCATCTCATTCTATCTCTTTGTCCCCTCTCCATCTGATTTCCATTGGAAAATATCCATTCATGGAGGTAATCAACTTTAACATTCTTTTTCTCTTCAATATTCTCAACATTTCCTAACGTAAACGTGTTCTTTTTTTCTGCATGAACGTATGAAATTACATTTTTTACATATTGTAACATGACATTGATATATCTAAGCTTTTAGATTTTCTCTTTTCATTAGAAAAGAGATGGGTTTTGTTTAGTTTCTTCTTTGTTTTACATATCAATCATTCATTTGCAAAAGAATAGAAATTATATATAAAAAATATGGTTTCCAATAGGAAATAATTATCTTTTTTTTTTTTTTTGTGTCAAAATCTATAGATTTATATATGAAAAATGATCTCATATACACATATATATTGAAGGCATTTGGGTTTATAAATCTATTTTCCAATTGAATGTGCATGATGACATAAGCAAATGTAAAGGATTTGGGGAATTAAGGTTTTTTATTATTATTATTATTATATTGGGTTGAGCAGGATAGAGGGAGGGCGTTGCCTAAATTTGGAGAGTGGGATGTGAACAACCCAGCCACGGCGGAAGGATTTACGGTCATATTCAACAAGGCTAGGCATGACAAGAAAACCAGAGGCAGCAGTGCTGCCACAATTATGTCTCCAACAACAACCACTGAAAAAATTGAAACTGTAACCCACCCTCCTCCAAAGGTAATATAACATATTTATGCTAATTAATTTAAACATCAAAACACTGACCCATGTCCTATAGCTAAGCTAGAGGCTAATTTCTTTTCTTTGTCTTGTTTGTTTCTAGGGTTCTCAGAGTAAATGGTTTTGCTGTGTTCGAGTTTAATGGTTCTGCTTCTGGGAAGGGAATGGCTGGTAATGTCGGCAATCGCCTCGGGTGGAAATTGGAATGGAAGAATGGTCCCTTGTACTTGTCTGGCTTTCCACTTGAGCGTTGAGTCCTCGGTTTATTTTTTATTTTTTAAACTTAATTGTCTTGTTTTGCTCTTCCTTAATTCCTTGTGCCATTTTTTTTTAGTAATAATTATTATATGTACCTTCGAAGAGAGGAAAGAGATGGATCTAAAGACACCAAATTTCCCACTAATTAAATCATTGAATCAGTCAATTCTGAGAAATATAGTAATACCGTTATTATTATGATTATTAAAATTTCATTGATTGTATGTATGTATGATTTCATCAATTCTTAGGAAAATGAAGTTATAATACAACCTTTATTTTAATACCAGGGCTTAAAATCCAAATTCAGAGAAATAAAATTTTTAAGAGTTTACGAAGAGCGCCCATTATTATGTATCATAAAATACCTTATTTTAGTTTTTTCAATAGTAAAAAAGAAAAGGAAAGAAATAAATTGAAAAAAAAAAAAAAGAAGGCAAAGATTTTAGGTTATGAATCTGAGCTCAATATTGAAATCGTCCTGAAATCCTGAAAGGTCAAGATAGGACGGGTACCCAATTTTAAAAATATTATTTTTTATATGTAACTCGAATTACATACATAAAAAATCACGTTTCAAAATTAATAAAATACAAATATAACATATATATAATTAAATAAATTTTTAAAAAAACCTTTTATATATATACGAAGTTGGATCAGACCCGGGTTTTTTTTTTTTGAAAACCTGATCCGAAACTCCATTTTAAAACAAAAACCGACCATATAGAATTGGGTTGTGTCGAAACCCGATGGCCTATCCTACCTGAACCAGTCAGGGTCTTAAGCCTCTTAGGTCAGTCCAACCCATTTTGTTCTGCCATGATACCTATGTAAGAAACCAACCAGGCCGGGGTGCAATCTATCCGGCACCGGTTCAAGGGAGAAGAAGTACAACATATCCTGATTCGAAATATGACATGAAACTCAGATAATTTACATATCCTGATTTCAATTTCAGTTTGTACCACTACCAACATAACATATCACAAGTATATAATAATATTATTATTATATAGTGCCATCCCCTAAAAAGCTTGTGGCAATGTAAAAGGGGAAAATGGACTCTTCCAGTTTTTTTTTTTTTTTTAATAGAATCCCTTGCTAATGTGAGATCTAAGAGCTAAGAAGGAAGTCTTGGCTGAAAAATCTTTTTTTACACAGGCTGCTGAACTGCAGCATCAGTACCATTACTTCCAGCAATTACAGTTTGTTCTGTTGCTGTAGAATGGCTAATTGGTGGAGGCTGATCGAGTCCAGACACCTCTGAAGGAACTGCCTGCATCGAATGGTCAAATTTACAGGCTGGCCCGAACTTGCAAATGCCGTAGCGACTATAGTGTGAGCAGATAATTTGATCCTGGATTTTGAAAACAATGGTAGATCACGAAGGTGACAATACACTCCGAGAAAGCATTAAGAAACGAGAATTTAATAGATATCACCAGAAACACAAACCATTAACAGGAACTAAATGTTAAAAGAGTGATCTATATTCTCAGGGTTAATCTCAGTCTGACAAAGCAATCATGTGGAAGCCTTTACTCAGATGCTATGTTTCTGTATAAATTCATTTGCCTAACAGAACCTCCGGTTTTAATCATTGCCTAGTTGAACAAATAAAGTACCAACTTCTAAAAGATGCAACTTTTATTGATTTCCATAAAGAACTTGTTTCGACATACATGAAAAGATAAGAAGGGAGTGCATTGCACTAGCTAAGGTGACAACAATAAATTAAGCAAATAATAATTGTGAGAACATTTACTTTTGTTTTCATTTTCTGCATGCATAAGAAAGCTTTAAAACCATTTACCCAGTTTATATATATTTGATAAAAACCACAGCCTAAGAAGCACAAACTTACAGGTCTCAGTGGCAAGCCCTTGTCGCTGAGTGCACATGGTGCCGGCTTTGGAACTCGATCTTTTGGATGATGATATTTGCAATTAGATTTAAACTTACAGTCCCCAGTTTTCAGGAAGTAACTGCACTCAGGTTGGCCAGGCCGAAATGGGAATTCATCAACCACCATTTGTGGTGGAAGAGGAGCATAGACGGTGGTGTCAGTGGATGGGTTGCTTATGACAAATGCTGGAGTTGGATGCAAACTCCTTTCTGATGGGGGATATACAGTTGTCTTGACAAGGCAAACAAGATTAAGTCATTATGCAGATCCATATAGGTAATAAGTTTTCAAGAAGCAAAGCTAATTTCTGTAAGACAATGTTATGCAGAAGCAGTTTTATACCTACCAGCAAATTTAAAACATGAGCTTCTTTAAGAATTGTTGCATTAAAATAGATAAAAAGGTAAAAAAAGAAAACAAAGCAATAAATACGTGTTGCACAGAGCATTAAAACAAAGTATTACGTGGAAAACACAGGAAGAGGGATGATTATACATTGTCTGATTCTCCATTTCATGTATCTATTACAACATGGATTGTCAAAGCAATTAGTATATCCTATCTACCAACTAATTTCCAGTACTTTTCCATGCAAAAGCAACATTAGATAGAGCCACATAAAACAATCCATCATCCATGTAACTGAACCAACATCAAGGTTCTACTTAGTTTTCTTTGGTGCAAGTCTCAACATATTTGATAATGCCAAAGAGTGAATATAACACTGTTTTTCAGCTGAATAAGAATGAGAATAGAATATTTGCCCATCAGTTCCCATGTAGTCTCAAGTACATGGCCTAGACATGACTCGGCCTAGATGTGCATGTGTTTCAGACCTTGAGATAACAAAGTGACCAAGCTACACGTAGAGAAAGGTTGAAAGAAGGCATAATTTTCAACAAAACGTTCTGAAGCTGGCTGAATATAATATGGGTTTCCTAATAAGTACTCTCCGGGCACTTCTTTATGTTAGTTAAAATACTATTTATAGTAATACTTTTGTATTAAATGCAGTAACTGAGCTAATTTCATGAATTACAATGCATTGGAATAATAGATTAGTTAAAATAGTAACCTTAAAGAGTGCCTTTAAGGCACTTGTTAGCAAAACCCATTTAATATAAACACATCTAAAAACTAGGTCTAACCATCCGATCTTAAGAATTGAAATATTCCATTCATTATCTGAATATGATTTTCTGCCAGTGGTTACCGGTAAGAATTGCTTAATACTATTATTATTTCTCAAAGCATGGGATTGTGAAATCATAAACCAAATTATCCATTTGTTATAAGAAAATTAAATGTTCAAACTGCACAAGCATTTTTGCACATTTTAGTCATGTTTGGTGCATAAGATGATAAATAGGATAGTATGATAATCATTCTATATCATGTTTGGTTTGTATCTAACTGAAAGGGATAGAATTACAAACAGGATTATCATCTTCTTGGTATAGGATGATGCAATCCTCCCAAAGTGGAGAGGATTATTTTTAACCCATGGGATTAAACTTATGCATCCTATTATACTCTTAGAAAATTACATCAATAATTTAAATTGTATAAACTTTGAGAAAGGATAATTTTGACCAATGAATAAATTGTCTTATCTTAATCCTTGCATGCATCAAAAATAAAATAGGATGATATTATTTAATCTAATCATATTCATAATATCATCTTATCCTATCTTATCATAATCTTGTATACCAAACTTGACCTTAAGAGTTATGATATATGGAGATACATACTAGAATACTTCAAGGTATGAAAACAAAAAAAATCTAGGAAAAACATTTACAACATCAGGTTGGGGATTGGGGAAGGAGGAAGGTGAGGACCATGTAATGCTACAGAAAACTCAATAGATGCTATGGACTATAGTATGCTAAGATAAACTTAATAGATGCTAAAGGCTCTATTAACACAAACTTAAACAGCATCAGAACAATGACACTACCTGATACCCATTCCACTCTGGATTTGGAGGCGGAACACCTTGAGTTGGTGAAAACACAATTGGCATATATGCAGCAGTCTCATTCAATGTCCTTGGTGATGACCAGGATGTCATATTCACTTGTGGTGCAGCTTGCGGTGAAACAGATCCACCATTACTGTATGCTGAAGGTGGGTCACAAGCTCCAGCAGCTGTAGGATCGGGATGATTAAACCTGCAGTTGGCTCCATACTTGCAGGACCCGTTACGCATGTAATAGGGGCACTCTTTCTCTCCCTGCGATGAATTAAAACTTTCAAATTTCCAGAATGATTACTCCAATTAATCACTAAAAATAAATCTCATAGGATTCAGCTGATTGAAGAACAAATGCAATGAATATCAGGCCTTAGATTATGGAGTTTGGCAAAGTTTAATTAATCAAGTAAAAACAGAAGTGGTACCTGTCGGATAGGCAGCCCCAGAAAGTTAAGCTCTAAAATTGGAACCACTAAAGATTTTGCTCTTGAGTGGTTATATCTACAAGCCTTCCCAAACTTACATCCACCAGTTCTTAGGTAGTACTGCAAAAATCTCAAGCAAAATTGTAACACCACACAAATGTTACTATCAACCCAAACACATTTCTTATAGATATAGCTGAAAATACATAAAGATGAGTTTCAGAAGCATCTGAACAAAAACTACAAGATATGTTATGGGCCATTGTAAAATACAGTCTAAAAATAAGATTTATTAGAACAAGTCGTAAAAGTTATTAATGTTAGGCACTTGAAATGATGGGAGAATGCTAGGCTTCACTTGAAGAATAATAAAAATATACACAAATTCAGTAATTAAATTTACCGAAAAGAAATAGCACAGTTTATAAGCTTCATAATGAATTTCCTCCTCAGCGAGAAAAGAATAATCTCAAAAATCAACTTGTCAAATTCTTTCAAATGCTCAAACTTAGACCAGACAAACCTGCTTCCAAACCAAAACAGAACATACGAACCGGTGCATATCAAATTAGTAACACTCATCAATGAGATGGCAGTTGAGATCATTAAGAGCACATTTTGCAAACATAAAATTAAGGATATTGACCTTGCATTCTGTCTGGGTTGATTTCTTTGTTAATTCATCCTTTTCCTTGACTTTTTCCTTAACAGCCTTCAAGCATCATAAATCCAAAACACCCAGAATTTAAAAAGTCAGCAAAAAATGAATAATTATACGTATGTAGCAAACAAGTCAATCTTAAAATGAGGAAACACTCAAAATCACCAGTTGTTATGGGATACCGGGGAGGGTACCTGTCATGCAGCGCAGGATTCAATGAACACATTAACAAAAGATAAAAAAATATATATTTACATTGACATGCGAATTCCCAAATACCATAATTAAATTATCATCTGTTAATTGATGAATAGCAGTTAGATAACAGAAAAGATAGATTTTTTTTCAAGCAAAAATAGTTCAGTGAATTTTTTGATAAATTTTATTACTCATAACATAATAAAAAAAAAAACTGAAATAGATAAAAAAAAAATCTCACAAATATCACGCTAATATAGCACAAATATATATATATATAAAAGAAATAATAAAAACAGCTGAAAAAATGAAGGCAAGTAATAATAAAGATTATAAGCACAGGCATTTTAAGCAAATATAAAGATTATAAAATAATAATAATAATAATAGTGAGAAAAGACCTGGTTTTTCCTTCGAATAGGATGATTAAACTTGCAATTAGGTCCAAATTTGCAAAGCCCAGTTTTCATATAATAAGCACAATCCTCTGCTTCCGGTCTCACCGGATAATGTGAACTCCTTTCATGCCGTTTCACGTTTTCATCATCACTCTCGTCCTCGTTTTTCTCTTCCTCATCTTCGTTGTCTCCGCCACCATCGGCGTCAGCATAGTTGTCATCGGCGTCGCTTTCTCGCTCTCCGTCATCTTTGTTCTCAACCTCCTCCTCCTCCTCCTTTACCTCTGCATCTTCCTCTTCTTTCTCCTTCAAATTGAGGTCCTGGAGCTGCCGTTGGAAATTGCTCTCGTTGTGCTCGTTTTCCCAGTGATTAAGATCAGACGATGAGGCGTCAATATCCAGAATCGGACCTGGATCGGGTGAGTGAAACCCCACATTAAGAGCGGAATATGTGGGAGTAGTGTCGGAGATCGGAGTTTCTTCAGATTGTGACATTGTAAATCCACATTTCAAAACCCTAAGTTCTGCAGAAGAAAAGGGAAAAAAAAATTAGGGGAAAAGGAAGACAAGAGAGAGAAGAAACTAAAAGGATTAAGAGTATTTGTTTTTGGGAAATGAAAGTAAAAGTGTGGAAAAAAAGGCAAAGGGGAGAGAAAGAGAAAAAAGAGCCATTTTCTGTTTGGTTTTCTTGAAAAATACAAAATATAAGTAAAAATATGTTTGATAATAAAAAAAATAGATTAAAATATAAAAATAAATATATATTTTTTATGTTTTATAATTTATTATATTTGAATTTTTTAATGTTATTAATTAATAAATATATATTATATTTATAATTAGACATATTCATTATAATATTATTAAATATTTTTTTATTTATTTTAAAAAATTATTTTTACTTATTAATTTTTTTAAGAAAAATAAAAATTATTTTATAATATAAAAAAATTCGAACCAAACAAAGCCTATTTTTTCTGCCGTATATTTGTACTTTGAAAAAAAAAAGGCTTCTTCATATCTTTCTTTGGTATTTGTACGTTTTTTCTTTACTATATATATAAATGAAAGTAGAAGTAACGTATACTTTTTTTTTTTCATTTTATAACTGTTTTTCTGTCCGAAAGTTGGTAAACTTAAAAATGGAGAAAAAAATTTTACAGTAAAATTTTCAACTTTTAACCGCCGGAAATTGTTGGTAGTAGTAAATTAGCAATGCTTAGGAAATGGAAAATAAAATAAAAATTTTAGTGAATTTTTTTTATATTTGAGGGAAAATTTTCATTTTTAATTGAATAAATAATATTCAAATAAGCGTTTGAATTTCATTAAAAGTTAATCATAACTTTGACGTTATGAAATATTTTATATTTGTTAAAAAATTTTCAATAATCTAATTTATAAAAAATAAATTTATTTAAATTTATTTAGATGAATTAGATGATGAATATTTGAGAAAAATTAAGTTTAATAATTTTGAAAGTTAAATTTTATTCATCAATTTTTATAATTTAATGATATAATTATAATAATAAAATAAAATAAAACTTACAACTTTGATTTTATATAATAAAAAATTAAAAGCATTTTTTTTTAGTAAAATTCAAATACTTATTTGATATTATCCCCTAATTGAACTAGTGTAAAGTAGAGTTATATAATAGTATAGATTGAGTTTCCTTTCTTAGCAATTATATTAACATTATTTTTTATAAAAAAAATAATTAAAAACTATAAATTTAAAGTTTATATTTAATATATTTACAATATATAAACTCTGTTATTAAATCATAAATTATCACCTATTCAAGAAATAAACTTAAGTTTAGAAGTCTTTGAAAATAATTGAAGTCAACTTTAATAATTTATATTTTAAGATTTTTAATTATTACAATTTATTCATTAATAACGTGATAAATTTATCATTCTTTACTTCGTACTTGTAAGTTGGTCTTAACAAAGTTGGTAGCAACTCTTTTTTTTTTTTTTTGCCTTTTTTTTTCATGTTTATCACGAGTTTGAAAGTAGGTAGAGTAACCACCAAATGCATCTGAACACCCTAGTAGCGAATAACTAGGTAAATGCAGGAATCTGATTCAAGATCCAAAGCAATTGCTCTGATTGCTGTAAATGAATGGCATGACAAAACATAATTAACAGTCTTTCTGAATGGCAAAATAATGGAGAAATCCTAACCCTGTAGTTGAACCTAGCCTGACCTGCCAATTGAACAACAGGTTCATTAGAACATGTCAATTTACCCTTCTTTGCTGAATGACCAGTCTTTGTTGAATGAACAACAGGTTCATTAGAACATGTTAAGTTACACTTTCTTCCTTCAAATTATCTCCTACCCTTCTTTGCTGAATGACCAGTCTTCCGTTTGTGACGACTGAAATCTGACACGAAACGGAATGTCTGTCCACAGCCTGCCTCACCACACACGTAAGGACGAGCACCTGTGTGAACCCTAATGTGTTCGGTTCGAGCCCATGCCCACTTGAATGTCATCTTACAACCCTTCCAGGGGCATTTAAGAGGTCGGTCATCCATATGAACTCGTCGGTGCTGCACCAGATATTTGTGTGACAAGAATTTCTTCCCACACCCTTTGACCGGACAAATGTTTCTTTTGTGCAGGACCAGGTCTTGTTTCGAGCCAAAACTCATGGTGCAGCCTTCCATGTCACACTGATATTCTGCTTCCTTATGTCTTACTTTTGCTGTGTTGTGACCAGCTAGAGTTTTTACATTTGAAGCATTCTTCACTTTCTTCTTCCTGGCTTGCTTCTTCTCTATTGGTTTTGTTTCTGACTCTTTCAGAGGCTTTCGGACTCTTTTTCTCAGGCGCGAGCTGGGTCCACCTTCTATCTCTTCTTCACCATACGAATTGCACTGTCTAGCACTTTGCTCAATTTTGGTGTTCCAATTCCGAGGAGTCTCTTGTTTCATTTGCTGAGAGACGACTTGTTTTGTTGTCCGACGTTTCCCTTGTTTTACATTCCGAGGGGTTTCTTGTTTTATTTGTCGTTGTGTCTGGGCTTTCTTTTTTCTGCTTCTAATACTCCTATTTGGTTGATGATAATTCCCATCCAACGAATCATATGAAATTGCATCCTCCCTTTCAATAAATTTCCTTTGCCTGCTTCTAGGAGTCTTTCTAAACTGCTGCAGAGAAGTACCATCCAGTGAATCATCTGAAACTGCATCTTCCTTGTCAAGAATTTTGGTTTGCTTACTTCTCCGAATCCTCCAAAGCTGCTGAAGAAAACTATCATCTGGAGAATCAGATGAAACTGCATCTTCCCTCTCAATAAACTTGGTTAGCTGACTTCTAGGAACCCTACTATGCTGTCGGTGAGAGTTACTCTTCAATGAATCAAAAGAAACTACATCTTCTCTATCAGTAAATTTGGCTACTTTGCTTCTAGGAATCCTCTTTTGCTGCTGTTGAGGATTATCCTCTAGTGAATCATCTGAAAATGCATCATCTCTTTCCATGTACTTCATTTGCTTGGCTCTAGGAATCCTTCTAAGCTGACTTTGAGAATCATAGTCTGATGCATCATCTGACATTGCATCATCTCTCTCGAAAAATTTTGCTTGCTTGCCTTTAGGTATTCTTCTATACTGCTTAAGGGAATTATCAGCTCGGGAATCATATGAGTTAGCATCGTTCCTCTCAAATGACTTCATTTGTCTGCCTCTAGGAATCCTCCTATGCACCTGATGAGAAATTTCATCTTGTTCATCATCTGATACAATGTCTCGACTCTCCTTAAATTTGGCCTGCCAGTTTCCACGAATCCTCCTATCCCGCTTAAGAGAACTTTCATCAAGTGAATCACATGAAACAGCATCATCTTCTTCAATATATTTGCCTAGCCTGCCTCTAAGATTCCTCGAGTGCTGCAGATGGGTAAAATCATCTTCTGCATCCTCTGATTCAGCATCTTCTTTTTCAATAAACTTCGTCCGTTTTTTTCTAAAGAGATTCCTCTGCTGCAGAAGAGAATCATCCTCAAGTGAATCATATGAAATTGCCTCTTCTTTCTCTATCAGACTTGGTTGCTTGCCTCTAAAAAATCTCTGTTGCTGCCTAAGAGAACTGTCATCCAATGAATCATCTGAAACTGCACCCTCCTGCTCAATGCATATCACTTTCTTGCTTGGTGCAATCTCTGCCCTCGTTTTTCTCTTTCTTTTAAACATTTTAGCCACCTGGGTTATTTCAGCTTTCTGAACATTTTCTGGCTTTCTCTCAAGATTTTCATTAGAAGTTGCCCAAGCATGGAAGCTTCTTTCTTGTTCTTGTTCCTCAGGATCCATTTGTGCCAAAAATGGATGAACCTGATTCGACATCCAAACTTTACCACACCATTTTCCCGCCACTACTTTTTTCTGCTTGCCAGACCTCCTCCCATACACGTTCCACTTTGTGGGTAAGCTAGCAGGAGAATTACGGCCAAATGCATTGTATATAACACAATTGTATGGCATCTGTTTACTGTACAGTGTAGAGCGACTGAGATTAGCACTATAAAATAGGTTGATTCCCAGCTTAACCGCCCAGTCCCCATTTCCAGGTATAGCATCCTCACTATCAAGAGCTGACTGGATTCTCTGCTCATCATCCTTAGTAGCATCCCCAAATAAGATGTCATTCCTGGGATAATCAATTCCTAGTTCTTCAGCCACCAACTTCGCTTCTGCTTCTATCTTGGGATACTCTGCATCGTTTTAAAGATAATAGTTAACAACTGCATAGAAAAGAAAAGAACCTAAAATGGTTATTCTGTATAACCATATTGATTAGTTTTCTGAAAGATGCAAAATGATCAAATAATAATAACCAGTAACCAGAGACCTTTCCCAGGGAAAAAAAAAATTGTTGCAATTAGAAGAAACATGTCAAGGAACAAGTTTGTTGATGCATGGTCCCTGTCATTTATTATAAAATAGAGATCAAACCTTACCCTATGACTTCACCTGGAGGGCATCACTTCCCTTCCATGAGTATCAATAATCTCGACACAAAGAGGTAGAGCATGGGAAGGTTAAAATACAGGAAATACTTCTGCATTCCCCGTACATACTCGACTTTTTTTACTCACATGCAGTATCATCCAAAAAAGATGCTTAAGATAACGGAAACATAAGGCAATGCACATTATTTCACAGAAAATAATATCTCCCAATATTTTTTTTTCTTTCTTTTGGGGGAACGGTGAGGAAGAGGAGTGTAAATTTATGTGAAAATATTCATTTGGGTATAATGTATGCCAAAATGTACCTGGATGACAAAGGAGAAATACATGCACTCCTCCGATTTTACGAAGTTGTTTTTCTACTTCTACAGCATGCTCAAGACAGAAGACATGCATTCGAGAAGAATCTTCATCAGACCTTGGAGCAAATGGAATATCTGCATTCTCCATTGGTTCAATGGCATTGCTAAACCTCATTTTCTCTGTTCCATGAGTGGCTGGGGAGTAACTTAGATTAGCATGAGATGCTGTGATTGGATCTCTAGATTTATCCTCCAAACCATTTGATCTTCTTGAAGCAAGACTATCAGTTTCAAACTCGACAGCAAGGTCAAATGTTTGAGGACTCCTATTCTTGATGTCAACTCTTCTAGATCCGGGTTCTGAATAACAATTAATAACAT